CACTCATTTGAACTACGTCATGACTTGATCCCTCCTCAACCAAGGGTACGTAGGCAACTTGAAACTTCAAAACTTCAAGTACAGTCACATCATCAAAATAAAAATAAAAAATAAAAAAAAAGGGAAAAAACACATCTTGGTGATGTATATGTTTTATCTGTATTTAGCACAATACACTGAATAAAATAAAGCATGTACATTGATCTCCGAGAAATTACAAGTGTGTACAAAAAAAAAAAAAAAAAAAAAGAAAAAGAAAAAAAGATGAAGCTTTCACAAAGGATGTGTACGTGAAACCCCACTACGTGGCAACACTCTCGAAGCAGGAGGCATCGGAGCAGAAGGCATCGGAGCAAGAGGCATCGGAGATAGAGCATTCGAGGCCTCAATACTTGGCGGAACGCTGGATGACCCAGGAAAAAGGTGCCTCTGAAAGAAAGACGCAAGCCTTTGACGGTCACTTTGCATTCGACCTTGAGATTCTTGCATCTCATCAAGCTTCCTCTTCATGCCCGACGAATAGTTATTTGCAAGCACATGCAAACTTCTATTCTCGTACTTAAGCTGTTTAATCTCCTGCTTAAGATCTTCCACCTCTGCCATCAATGATTCCACTTGACGAGACCGAGCAAGCAGGCGTTGGCCCATGTTGGACACAGAGCTCGCACACTGAACACTGAGAGCGAGGGACTCTTGAACGGCCAACTCATCGGACCGTCCTGAAAGTAGCCTACTATCTGTTGGTGTGAGGAGGTTCCTAGCAACTATTGTAGCTGTTGTTGCATTCTGCATCACTGAGTCTTCACCTGTAAGAGGACCGTTAGAAGATAAGAAAGACGGGCACCATACATTACCTTGACGCGGCGCAACCGGATCACTGCTGAGACTCAATTCTAAGCTAAGGTTCGATGGGTTAGCCATTTTTTCAAAGGTGTTAAAAGAGATGGGTGGATGGAGTTAAAACTCAAAAGGTCGGAGATGATTTTCAGGAATGAGCAACCTTCAAAGTGTGCATGTTAGAGGTGATCAATACCTCTATAAAATCGAAGAGGCGCTTGCTCAGAAATCAAAGAGACGTTGGTTCAGAAATCGAAGGGCCGCTTATTCAAAAAAGTGAAGAGACATCGCTCTGCAAATCTCAAAAGCTGGGTTTTCCGGCGTAAGTTGGCGACGCTTTCTCAGCTTTTCAGAACACGGGTGCCACTTTGTCAAAAGATCACGTGGAGGTCATCATCGCAGCTACACATCTTTAGCCGACAAGCGCAAAGTTCGGTGGCGCTTTCTCTGCTTTTCAGAAAACGCATGCAGCTTTGTCAAAAGAGGCGCTCGTTCAGAAATCGAAGAGGCGTCGTTCAGAAATCAAAGAGGCGTATTCAAAGATCGAAGAGTCGTCACTATTTCAAAAAGCCGGATTTGCGGGATCAAAAACGTTTGTCGACAAGGGTAAAAGAACAGTACCACCACTTGCTATTGGGAAATCCCTATATATGTCGACCTTCATCTTTTATGGCAAGGCAGACCTGCAAACAAAAAAAAAAAAATGCCCAACTCTTCCTCACCTCCGAGAGTACACTCCCAGCAAAGCATCTCAAAATGCTCAGTTTTCTTCCTCTCCGGGAATGCCCTTGCAAACAAATGACACCAAGGCAAAAATATCTCATATCATCAAGGGCGAAAGCAAAGGTATCTCATATCATGCTTTTTCCCTGTCTTTTCCTTTGCCCTTGTTCTCACCTGCCAAGACAAGGACAGAGAGAGCAATATGTCGGAACCTCCACTCAAACTTGCGCTGCCACCAAGAAGTGATGGTCCATTCAAATGCAAGGTTTGCATTCCACTCCTGTATCAGAAGACAAATACTACAAGAGAAGATGTCAAACCTGCATAAGGAAATACCACTTCTGCAAAGGGGAGCAAGTAAGGCAAGTGAAAATGATACATTGAAGCATGTGGAGACAAGCTAAAACTGCATATGCTGAGCTATCCTCTAACCCTCTTCAATACGAATTGGAGAGATTGAACAAAGAAACAGAAAAAAAGGAGTAAGCTCAGACCTTCGGGGGAGACCAAAAGAATCCTGCTACCCAGTTCAAGAGTAGCACAAAGGAAAATCAACGAGTGGAGGAGACCAAAAGAATCCTGCTACCCAGTTCAAGAGTAGCACAAAGGAAAATCAACGAGTGGAGGAGACCAAAAGAATCCTACACCCAATTCAAGATCAAGCCTCGATGGCCCTTGAAGAAATCACAAGCCCGATTCGAAATCAAGTGTTCTCCACCCTTGAATCAAAATCAACTCCAGATAAAAGGAGTAAGTTCAGACCTTCGGGGAAGACCAAAAGAATCCTCCAGCCCAATTCAAGATCAAGCCTCGATGGCCCTTGAAGAAATCACAAGCCCGATTCGAAATCAAGTGTTCTCCACCCTTGAATCAAATTCAACTCCAGATAAAAGGAGTAAGTTCAGGCCTTCGGGGGAGACCAAAAGAATCTTCCAGCCCAGTTCAAGACTAAGCCTGTGGAAAATCAACGATTGGAGGAAACCAGAAAATCTTCCAGTCGAACTCAAGATCAAGCCTCAATGGCCCTTGAAGAAATTTCCAGCCCAATTCAAGATCAAGCCTCGACGCCCCTTGGGTTGACATCTACATTAAGGGACTTCAAAACGCATCTTCTACACGTGTCAAGCACATGTCTACGACGCGCCTTGAAGTGGGGGCATTTGTAGACATCGAAATTTCAGTAAAAACAAATGTTCACCAATGCATTAAAGTTTTGACGTGTCAAGGCATACATGGCATACGCCACGTGTTGTACAAATTGTACACATGGCGTGTGACTCAACAAAATAGGAAGAAATACCCTTGAAGGATTAAACAAGTTTTTCTTCTCATTTTGGGCAATGACAAGGCAAGTACATTCCAATCCATTGAGGATCAAAACAAGTTTTTCTTCTCATGTTGGGCAATGACAAGGCAAGCACACTTCAATCCATTACGGATCAAAGCAAGTTTTTCTCATTTGGGCAATGACAAAGCATACACACTTCAAGTTTAAAATGATGTTAAGTGGGAAATTAGGCCATAAGTTACACCACTTCAAGTTTAAAATGGTATTAAGTGGGAAATTAGGCCATAAGTTACACCACTTCAAGTTTAAAATGGTGTTAAGTGGGAAATTAGGCCATAAGTTACACCACTTCAAGTTTAAAATGGTATTAAGTGGGAAATTAGGCCATAAGTTACACCACTTCAATTTCAATATTGCATTAAGTGGGAAAATTAGGCAATGGTGCTTGGAAAGGAAAAAAATATTTTGTGGTGGTGATTCATTCTCAAAGCCTATAAATAGGCTTCTCCATCAAGGTATCAAGCATCAACCAATTCACAAATACATTTCTCTACACACACCATCAACCAATTCACAAATACATTTCTCTACACACACCATCAACCAATTCACAAATACATTTCTCTACTCTCAAAATGGAAGAGAATACTCCCCACACATCCAAAATCCTTGAAGCTTTGAAACTCTAAAGCTCTCAAGCATCCAACCCCCAAATTCCCAAGAATCCCGAAGAATGGAGAAAGCACTCTTCATTCTTCGTCAAATCCTCCTTCAAGATCAAGCCCCGACGGCCCTTGAAGAACTTCCACCATTATTCAAGATCAAGCCCCGACGGCCCTTGAAGAAAGTGTTCATCATTCATCATCCGTTCATCCTAAGATCAAGCCCCAACGGCCCTTTGGATCAACAACCTCAACAAACCGACACACACCAAAATCTTGAAGCCTTAAAGTTCTAAAGCTCTCAAGAAAATCCCGAAGGATCAAGAAAGCACTCTTCGTTCTTCGTCAAATCCTCCTTCAAGATCAAGCCCCAACGGCCCTTGAAGAACTCCCACCAACTCAAGATCAAGCCTCGACGGCCCTTGAAGAAAACCAACCGTTCTTCAAGATCAAGCCCAAAAGCCCTTGAAGATCCGCTCATCCATCAACATTCAAGATCAAGCCCTAAAAGCCCTTGAAGAAACTTCCATCAACCTTCAAGATCAAGCCCCAAAAGCCCTTGAAGAAATCCACACAACCATTATTCAAGATCAAGCCCCAACGGCCCTTGAAGAAAGCGTTCATCATTCATCATCCGTTCATCCTAAGATCAAGCCCCAACGGCCCTTTGGATCAACGACCTCAACAAACCCATACACCCATTCTTCAAGATCATGCCCAACGCCCCTTGAAGATCCATTCATCAATTGTTCATCCTAAGATCAAGCCCCAACGGCTTTTTGGATCAACAAATCCACACATCCAACCGTTCTTCAAGATCAAGCCCAAAAGCTCCCTTGAAGAACTTCCAACAACTCAAGATCAAGCCCCAACGGCCCTTGAAGAAAGCGTTCATCATTCATCATCCGTTCATCCTAAGATCAAGCCCCAACGGCCCTTTGGATCAACGACCTTAACAAACCCATACACTCATTCTTCAAGATCAAGCCCAACGCCCCTTGAAGATCCATTCATCAACTGTTCATCCTTAGATCAAGCCCCGACGGCCCCTTGGATCAATAAACAAATCCACACATCTATTCTTCAAGATCAAGCCTAAAAGCCCTTGAAGAAAACCAACTGTTCATTCAAGATCAAGCCTCGACGGCCCTTGAAGAAAACCAACTGTTCTTCAAGATCAAGCCCAAAAGCCCTTGAAGATCCGCTCATCCATCAACATTCAAGATCAAGCCCCGAAGGCCCTTGAAGAAACTTCCATCAACCTTCAAGATCAAAACCACAAAGGCCCTTGAAGAAACTTACAACTGTTCATCCAAGATCAACCCTCGACGGCCCTTGGATCAACAAATCTACATCTTACGAAGATAGAATCAGAGGACCAAATTCAAGAGAGATCGTAACCCCAAAATCATAAACACAAAATATTATTTTGTACACGTTATTCTCGTGTTTCTTGTTTCAAGGAACTTTCGTGTTCACAGTCCCTTCAAGCTTGAGTAATTCACACCAAAAATACAAAACACACCCGTTGGCTGCTAAGTGTAATCCGTTCATACGAAGAGGGATGTACGTTGAATAAGACAATATGTCTGTTGATGAAAACTGATATATACATACACACACACACACACACACATACATACATATATATAAATGCATCGCTCGATTTTCAAGAGTACCATATGGGCATGGCTAAGTTAGAAAGAGAGTCAATGCGACCGCCATCCCCATCAGCGCCGCCTCTAACAACCACTGGCATTCCGGTTAATCTAATTAGCAGCAGTACTTCTGCTTCCCCAATGGCTTGGTCCACGGGGCTCTGCAATTGTTGTGGTGATGTTAGCAGTTGTAAGTGCATCTTATACATTATTTTTAATTATTTCAATCATAACTTATGCCAGATAATTGTATTAAGGGTAAACCTATTTTATCATTTTATTTCTCTTTACTTGTATTAAGGGTAAACCTATTTACTGCACAAGTAAGATTTTTGAACTTTTGGGGTTTTATGATAAGGAAAACCTACCTATATATAATATATAGAGTTTTTTTTTCCTATATTAATCCTAATATTCTATTCAATAATTCTATCAATTTTTTAATACTCAGTTATACATGGCACAAGTTTTGTTTATACTTTTAGACAATCAAATATTTCGTAATTCTCTAGGTTGCTTGACGTGTTGGTGTCCATGTGTAACATTTGGACGCATTGCAGAAATTGTGGATAGGGGATCAACTCGTAAGTTTGTTAAGTATATTTTGTATTTTTACCATGACGATCTCTTAATTTTGTTACTACTACTACGAACTTGCTTACGCAAAAGAATTAATGAAATGAGCATATATTTATGCGCACGAACGCACGCATGCAGCTTGTGGAGTGAGTGGAACTCTTTACAGTTTGATGGTGTGCTTGATGGGTTGCTCGTGTTTGTACTCGTGCTTCTATAGAACCAAATTGAGAGGACAATATTTCTTGGAGGAGAAGCCCTGCACGGATTGCTGCGTCCATTTTTGCTGCGAGGCATGTGCTTTGTGCCAAGAGTATAGACATCTTCAGAACCAGGGCTTTGACATGTCCATCGGCTGGCACGGCAACGTTGAAAGGCAGAGACGACTGGCTACAACATCAATGCCACTGCATCCACAACTTTATGCAGCAGGCATGACGCGCTAGCTAATTTCATGTACTCCTTGCTGTAAGTTTGAGGTAGACTGAGTACGAGGAAGAACAATTGGAAATGCTTGTTCTAGAGTTGGAAAATAATTCCATGTACTCCTTGCTGTCGCAAATAGTAGTCTATTATATTTGAATGACTTTTTGTTATTATTAATTGTCTCGGCTCCTCTCTTATTATCTCTTATTAATTAAAAGAAGATTTGATAAATCAGTTACTTATTCTAATCGGATTTAGTTCAGATTTAGTCCTGATTTGGTTATTTTATTACGCGCCGGTGAAGTTTAGTTTGTGTTCATTGCTCTACAATTTTCTTCTTCTCTTTTCTGTTCTTCCACCTAATTTGGAGAGATTTCCATCGTAGCATCATCATCATTCATATGGTATTCATTGTCTCTTATTTTTTGTCGCTGGATATGTGTGTCGTTTTTTATGTTTGAAGTTGTATATATGTGATAAGTACGAACAGGGATTCAAGGGTACAGCACTGAGCAGTGTATATATGCGTGCCCTCATTTTGGTGATCATTAAGTGGGATGGAGGTGTAAGAAGTAATTTGGAAATCAACAAGTTACTAGGATGATAGATATAACAAATATAATTACAATAAATTAATCAAACAATTAAAGGGAAATAAACTTGTCTTCCAAAGCAAAGGAAGAAGAACCCATGATGCTAGGGTTTCAAGGAGGAACTTCTATACTCTGGCAACTGAGAGTCCTTGTGCACAGAAAAAGGGTTTTGCATCAGAACAGGATCATTATTGTGAGTGCAAGGACCTCCTATTATATAGATGCTCATCCCCTTAATCCGGCCTATTAGATTAAAGGGATATTCCAAATCAATTAGGATTTCATTATAGTCCTATATATGGTAACAAATTATTTTTCAACTAATTAATGTTTTCACGATTAGTTGCACTAAATAAGGACTCCTAAACCTAAACAAATAAGGCTCCACAATTTTCTTAACCATTAACTCGGATTGACCAAGTTACCTGTATGTTAAGAAACAATGAGCACATGTTGTTTGACACTCATAATTTATAGGAGGTGTTATCATATGACCTCATTCCGGTCACCAATTCCTTAACTTTGATTTTTCTTTTTTATGTTAATCAGAACCTTAAAACCCTCGTTAATCTACCTACTCTAGTCAGATTTAGTCTTCATTATTTGATTGCTTTCCAGTTTAGTTTAGTGTGAACCTTATTTATTTGACCTAAATTCTTTTCTTCCATCTCGCCCTTCTGTTCAAACTTATTTTTCTTTTTTCTATCAACTCGCTTGGTTTGGGAGAGGATCCATCGTCTTTAATCCGGGCACCGTCATCAGGTACTTGTTCGCTGCATCTTCAATACAAATACTCGTATTTTCAAATTCTATTTTGTTTTAGTTTTCCTGTTTGGATAGGATCATCATGGATCGATCGATCAATACGTCCGTGCTCGGTAGGGGATAGGGAGGTCACGGGCGAGTGCTGTTGTCTCTTGTGGTTGGAAGCCCTCCTCAATTAGTTAATCAGCGTTGGGTTTATGATATTTTAAATATTTACGAATGCGTTTTGATATCTGACCTTGCAGGCTAGTTTTTAAATAGAGTACCTGCAGCTTGGGCTGGTTGTGGCTGGACCTTGATCTGAATTTAGAGCTGTGGTTTCCTGCGGATAACGTAAGAATTGAAGCCGAGTATTGTCTTTTCTTTTCTGATGTGGGAATTTTCAATTTTCATTCATATTATTCTTGGTGGAATCGTTTTGCATTCTTTAGTTGTGATTGTGAACTCGTGTCATTATAACTTTTAGTCACGGTTCTGGAGTTGCTGTGAATAGTCGATGAATATTTGTTATCGCGTCTTGCAGGCCATCGTTACTAATTGTTGTTTAAGTTGTTGGATTGCTGAATAACTACTGATCAGAATGGAAAAGCTTCAAAATGATCTTGAGACTTCGAAGAGCAATATCGAGAGATGGAGGATCAGAAAACTGATCAAGGAATTTGAACCCGCATATGGTTTTGGCTTGATTTCTATCATCATTCCTCCCACGAAAACAATGTCCAGTGTTACTGAGTGGCTGGCGAACCATAAAATTCGAATGCTTTCAGACCTTGAAAGTGGTTCTGAATTGTTTAAAGGTATACGTATGGCTAGGTCGGATGCATATACGTAAGCTCAGGAAGTCCTCGAGCGTTGCAAACAGGTTCCTCGCAACGGGCTTGTTCTGCACACAGGAATAGTTATAACTTGTACTAAAAGTTGTGAAGTTGAAAGTTTAAAAAGGGTAAGAATTCTTTTGAGCCTTTCATGCCCATTGACAAAAAGGGGTTTTGTTTCGTTGTTGACGTTAGCTTTCATATTCAAGTTCTTAATGACCCCGATGACAAATATGGTTTCATTATCATGGATGATGAGTGGACACTTTTTGGGAAGCTAAAGGGTAACAGAAGCCATGTGATTCGTAAAATTAGTGTTGAAGGTAGTGGGTACTACCATGTTAAGAAGGCAGAAAAACTTGCCAAAGAGTTTTTTAAGGGCCCACAAGTTAAAGGAGTAGTGTTGAATGATTTATCAGACTTAAGGTTGAGACGTTGGCTACGCAAGAAAAAGCTGATGGAAGTGGAGATTGATCATGCAAATGAGGAGGGTTTGGAGCAGGCTATTAAGTTGTCTGAACTTAAATTTTATAGGGAGAAGAAATTGTTAGACAAATATCTTAAGGAGATTGTTGATGGACCTGAAAAGGGTACATATGGTGCAGAAGACACAATAACAGCGTTGGAGGAGCGTGCTGCTGAGACACTCATTGTATGTGATAGTTTGGACATCATTAGGTATGTGTTCAAAGACATCAATACTGATGACACTGTTGTTAAGTATTCAAAAGAGGGGGAGTTGTTCTGCCGAGTTTATGGGGGCATTGGAGCAATTATTCGAGGCCCCGACCCGCTTTGGTTGAACCTGTACGCTTTTAACCTTGCTAAAAGATTGAGAACCAGCGCTTTGACATGTCCAAAAGCTGGCCCGGATGACCTGCGCAATCACTTTTTGGTTAAGTTGGTGTTGCGATCTCCAAGTAGTAGTGTTTTTATCTGGCTAGCTCCAATTAAGTTGGTGTTACTTTGAACTTTACCTCTATTATTAATTTTACATTTTCTAAGTTGAAGTCAAATTTGACTTTTACATTTTGCTCTAAAGTCAAATTTGACTTCTGAACATGCCTGTTTATACATAGTATATTTTTATTGTGATGATAATGATTCATGCCTTGAAGTTTTAAGACCATAATGTTGATTGCGTCTCGTTACTTCAATTAATTTGGAACATTTATCTTTTTTATTTTTTGGATTAGAATTTGTTAAATTTCCTCCGTCGTGTGGACTTGAATATTAAAAAGCAATTTGTATTTTTTTTTAGTACATCGATATTTTTACACTAGGAGAAGAGAGAGTTCAGTTAAGTCACACAATGAGTAGCGGGTAGCCTAATTTGATATCGAATTCGTCATCCACAACATTCAAACCTAAGATTATTAAAAAGCAATTTGTATTTTGAATGTACTATTATGATTATTTTGATAGGCATTAATTTTTTAATTACTCGATATCTTTAATTTTAAATATTTTGTAATGGGGCGAGGCCGGAATATGGTTCGTGTGGTGGGGGAGACCCCAATTTAAAATTATGAAACTTTAACGAAAAGCTTCTGGTACTATTCATTTTAACGAAAAATCACATTTTTACACTAAAAAGTCAATTCCGGTACTATTCACTTTACTCTTTATTTTGTCCTTACCATTAAAACTCAAAGTTTTCAAACCATTTTCTTTAGTTTTCCTTTAAAATTACAGGTATAAATGTGGGACATTGATCTAATTTGTGATTAAGGGACCAAAGTGAGTAGTTTGTTCAAGAACCTATGCAATCTATCAGCTAATTGGTGGGACTGCGTGTATTTAAATTTACTTATTTCTGGTGGAAATGCTTGCCGTGAGTATCATTGAAAGCATCCAGTTGCTCTGTGTTGTTAATGCTAATGGGGAAGAAGAAGCACTGCTTAGAACCTGTATAATATGCAGTAAAAATAGTTAGTTTCTTTACAAATTTATGACTTGAAACCATATTAATCCATATCCATTTCAAAGTGAGTGGCTAACCCCAAAAAAATCAAGTGAACTTTGTCCAACACATAGATATAGGGTGCATGAATGTCAATCAATTATGTAACACTGTCAAGTCAAAAGCCATCTTTGCCAAACCCATAGATAAAGCGTGCATGAATGTCAATCAACTATGTAACACTGTCAAGTCAAATGCCTTTATATATGTGTCCTCTACTAATAATCGAGAGAAGCACATTCCATGGACGTCCTGAAAAAGAGGGGGAGGGCCAGAGGGGCTTCTGCAAGCAGCTTCTGGTTGTGGATGATCTGCTTTTGCTTTGGTGGATGCATTATATATAATGTCTTAAACAGTTCCCTTGATGAATAGATTGTATTGGGAGACAATAACAAAAGTTAGTGCTTTTGACTCCCACTATAGTCCCCAATGTTTAAGCAGTGTCTATGAAAATGTCAACAATGTCATGCACACATTCTAAAAGCAAAGCTGTTTCGAAGATCATGCATCTGTATAATATATAGATAAGATATTGATTTTTATACTCATTTTTATCTTACATGCCATTTTGCTTATTAGTATCTATTTTTTCATTTACTCTATTCAAAGAGCGAAAAAAAAATTAAGATGGAAAGGAGGAGTACGAAAATTACTTCCATAAAAATGGTGTGCGACTTTATGATTGATGGTATGTACAAGCATGATTCCTCTAATTGCGTTTTAACTTTAATCCTATGTTAGTAATAGTAACTAATATGTAGTGATTAATGGGTAGGTCACATTCCACGAACACTTGAGCACTATTGGGAAGGCTACATTAAAATAAAATGTGCTTAATTAATTAATCAACAATTATATATGCTACCCAACAAAATCGAGACCTCTCTACATTTGTAGTCCAGAGCCGACGAACTAAGAAATTCGGACCACTTATTTTAAATCTTTCGACACCCATTAGCCCATCTCACACAGACCAAGAGTTCACATCTCAGTCCCTCTCTTAAACAGCTCGAATTTCTTAATTTGTCTGCTCCAGACTGCGAGATTCAGAAAGGATCTGAATTCTACCCACTCCCATCCCATGGCCCTATGTTACAGTAGATTCACGTTTAGACACGTGGAACTGGTCCCAATTCCCCACTTGGGAGGACAAGATAGATTAATCGATCTCCCTTCTGAATACCTAAATTTAGCTTTGGCCTTCACTTTCATATTCTATTTAAGGAACTGCATAGTCACAAACTTTTGTACTGAACCCTAAAATTTATTCCCAAGTTTTCACTTCTCACTAGGCACCTACCTCTCCACGTACGTTTTCCATATATATTCACGTTCTTCATATGAGAGCAAGGAGATCACCAATGGCTGCTATCACCTTAGACACAACTTTCAAGCCAACAACCAACGAAGTACTCGACTCCCCTCATGACCAACAATACGAGACTGTGATCGAGGAAATTGAAGGGCTTATAAAAGTGTACAAGGATGGACACGTGGAGAGACCTCAGATCGTGCCATGTGTCACAGGCGCAGTAGCTCCGGAGCTAGGCGTGACATCGAAGGACGTGGTCATCGACAAGTTCACAAACATCTGGTCACGTTTCTACGTGCCCAAATGCCAAGAAAATAACAAGATGAAGCTCCCTTTGCTAGTATACTTTCATGGAGGTGGGTTTTGTGTTGGCTCAGCCGCTTGGAGTTGTTACCATGATTTTTTAGCAAAGCTAGCCTCCAAACTCGGTTGCTTAATCATGTCGGTAAATTACCGATTGGTCCCTGAACACCCTCTCCCAGCTGCATATGAAGATGGATTCAACTCCATCATGTGGCTGAAACAACAAGCTCTAATTCAACGTGGAGCTAATAATAATAATAATACATGGTGGTCAACGCAATGTGACTTTTCCAGAATCTTCCTGGTGGGTGATAGTGCGGGTGCCAATATAGCCCATAATGTGGCCACAAGACTTTACACGGGAGGAGGTTCGGTGTTAGAATCACCTTCTACTGATCAGTATCGCTTGCATCAGTCAAATTCTGACCGTCCATGTGACGAAGAGATTATAAGCTCAACTAAGCCTTTGATTGTCAAAGGTACAATTTTGCTGCAACCCTTTTTTGGGGGAGAGGCTAGGACAAGTTCTGAGAAGTACAATAAGCAGCCTCGGTCTGTGCTGAGCGTGGCAGCCTCTGATGCTTATTGGCGATTGGCGCTGCCACATGGCGCTAATCGTGACCATCCATTCTGCAATCCTATGAAGAGTAGTAGTGGTGGTGGTGGTACTCTAAAGGCTGGTTGGCCAACTATGGTTTGCATTTCAGAGATGGATATACTGAAAGATAGGAACTTGGAGTTTTGTGAAGCATTGAGAAAAAGAGGAGATGGTAAGATGAAGGTGGAATACGTGGTGTATAAAGGCGTTGGGCATGCATTTCAGGTGCTGGATAAGTCTGAGCTCTCGAAAACTCGATCGCATGAGATGATAAATCATATTAAGGCCTTTGTTAATTGTAATTGATTAGTTCCCTTGTGAGCTGTGACTATATATGATTAGCAAACCCTAGCTTGTATAGCCATGTAAAATGCATATATTTATAATCAAAAGAATATTAGTTGTGTATGTATAAAAGTTGAAAAATGAAAATTAAATCAGGTATGTTTCATGATCTTTTCTTTCTTCTGGCTCTTGTCCATGTCATGATGTCACTGTGTGTATGAGAGAGATGTAAACTATGAAGTAAGATTTATTTTAGGGTAAAGTTAGGAACACTTAATTTATGAAGTAATTTTTTGTTGACGTGACGTTATTTCACTCAAATTATAACACGTGATTTTGTTTAATATAGCCTGAAAATGGGACATATCCACATCGTTCATTTTTTTATAACACGTGAAATGATGCATAACTTGTCTTATGTTCTAGGTACTTATAGAAGTTTGTCCATCGCCAAATTTGAATCCCAATGGAAAATGGAATCATCGACTTTCATTAGGCCTTTTAGCACCCAAAAAAAAAACATGAAACTTTTCAGGAAAATGGAAAGAAAAAATAAAAAACAACCCGGAAACTTATCATTCTATCAAACCACAACAACCGTAAAACTGATTATTCAATATTCATAAAAAGGTACCCGTAATATAATCACTCAACCATATGATGATTAAATCTGTTTCCTCTTTGGATGAAGCATGGACATTAACAATGGCGCCCATCACCAGATTAATGTCATAGGACTTTCTCTCAATCTTCTTGATACGCATATTCTTTTAAATCCTTAATTATTATTTTGTACCAGTTGATCGAGGAAATAACAAATCACTGAGTAGAGCAAGAGAGAGTTTAAGGACTATATGCATCGTGTGGTTGTTGTGGCGGTGGTGTGAAAAAGTATTCATGAGATAGGTTTGAGATTTTTTTTAATTGGTTTCTCTAACATTAGTGGAGCAAGAACGGAGGCAGCTAAGGCCTACTGTGGGCAGATGGCCCTACTGAAGTTTTGTGTAGTGGAAAAAAACCATGGTGCTTACAGGATTTGAATTTATCGTATTTAAGTATTTTAATTGATTAGTCGAAATTTTCAAATAATATGTATAATAAGCTATCATCGTGAAAACATTTCCACAAGTTGGCTTAATGACATTTGAAAAAAAAAAAAAATACAACTAGCAGTACTTGTTAGTTAGAAAATTTATAAGGGAAAACTAATGAAAATGGTTTGAAAACTTTGAGTTTTAACGATAAGGACAAAATAAAGGGTAAGGTAAATAATACCAGATTTGACTTTTTAGTGTAAAAATGTGGTTTTTCATTAAAGTGAACAGTACCGCAGGCTTTTTGTTAAAACTCCCAATTTATAATCCCTCGTAATTTTTGTCATTTTTTTTGCTTGTTACAAATGAGGAGGTCGAAGGGAAAGGAACATGAAGCTGAAGGCAATTCGAAGTCTGGGCTTATAATATTAATTGTTGGAAAACACGTACAGTATGATTCTCATAATATTTGAGTATGAACTGTCTATTATAATTATTTTAGATCATAGAAATATGTCTATTCAATTGGTAGACATTCTTAATAACGTGAGTTTATGATGGCCATCAAAACAAATTAATTCATACACACATATATCCTCCTCTTAGTCACAGGCCCACACCTAGTATATTATTTGGAGAAGGCCAAACATACATCTCCTGGCCCCTCGTGAAGGTTCGTGGTTGAGGTTTCTTCACGGGGCAGCAAATGACGACCTCCGCTTATTAAACTTAGTTGTGTATTCTTGCTCAAATGAGTGTTCCAGATGAATTTACTGTCGAGTTCTTTGCTGCAAAAACAAATGTTAATGATGAGTTGAATAATGCTGAAAACTGAAAAGGAATAAACGCAGATCATAGTGCACTATGTCATACTATGCAGCTCCAACCTGCATAAATTTTAATTAACTGGATATACTAGATCCATTATCAAATTCTTTAATCTTAAGATTACCAAAACTACAATATTTCATGTGGTAAGAGTATTATCCCAAACCAAGATATACTGGAAATGGCGATTTTACAGACCATCGTGTGTAATTAAAGGTCCGTTTAGTTTTAAAAAAAAATGAAAAGAAAAATGAAATAGTTATCAAATGACCCTTAATATATATATGTAGGGGTTTATGAACTACCTGAGTTTGAGACGGCATACCTTTTTTTTTCTTCTGCAACTTCCAGGTCGTGAAGATCATGCATGGAATGCATTATTATCTAACGCTACTGAGCTAGACTTGATTGTTTGAAATAATGCTAATTCTGGTTAAATGTGACATCCTTCTATGGCTCTATTTATAGGCCATGTCATTGCATAACTCACCAGACCAAACTAATAGCAATGCAGTAAAGCCAAGATTTCTAATACTATTTGGTGGTTGGAGAGGCACCAGGTGCCAACCATCGGTCGTAGGTTTACAGTGAGTGCCTCAACCCCCACGGTAAAGTCTGTCTTACCGCACTTCTCTCGTATATATTTAGAGTAGTGCTATCCGTCGAATTTTATTTTTTATACACATTTCTCAATTGTGGGATGTTGAATCGAATTAATTGAAGAAGATAAATTATCAAAATTAACAATTGTTTATGTGAAGTAAAAATGAATGTAAACTTCTATAAAATGTATGCGAATTTAGGTTTACTGAATTGAATTAAATATCTCAAACATTTCTTTTTGGCTAATATTTTGCAAAGATGATTTATAAAATGCAACTTGAAAAATAAACAGCTCAAATTATTGAAGTTCGATATAGAATAGGACCCACAACTAGTTTTTATTTAATACTAATAATAATTGGATTTATAGCTGCATCATGGGGAGAACTTGGAGCGGAGAATATGACAACACGACTCCAATCCAACGTCCGCCGACAATACCCCTCGAACAGTCGAATACAATTCGTTCCAGATTCTGCTTAGGGATGACAATTCTAACCGTTAAACCCGTTAATTATAGATAATCGCCTGAATGGATTGAATTTGGATATGAAAATTCAGGTATGGTTAGGATATGGGGAAAAACCGCTAACTTTATTCGGTTATGGTTTTGGATATGGTTATAGGGGTACCCAATCCATATCCATACCCGAATCCGATCCGAATATTTGATATATATATATATATATATATATATATATATTACATTTTATTCAATTATGCCTTTTGAAGTCTTGGAATCATGCCCACAACGTATTCAATTATTCTTATCCCTATAGTACTAATTCATTATGCATGCATCAATTAAGTTTACTGGTTTATAAACAATTGATCTGCAAGAGGAATGTTATTTTACTAAAATTCACATTTGAAGGGTGAAATTATTTTAGGTTTATTTTTAAACTACCTCTAGTACAATATATTAGGACTTAATTTTGCCTATTGTGCAAAGAATAAGTGGTTGGTAACTCTCATTCAGCAAAGGCAGCGTATTTTGATAATTTTAAATTCCTGAGTACTGTGGCGTTGACAATCCAAATATTTCCGAGTGATTGTTGAATCAATTTCCCCTTTCCTTTGGTCTTAGAACTGGGTACAAGATAGGTGGTACCATGGTAGCCCTCCTCAAACTCCTACCTAGCCTTTGGGTTCAACCGCCTACTCTGTGTGAGTTGGACCCAAGAGCTACCCTTAGCAATGGAGGAACGGTAGGGATTGGCTAGAAGAAATAAGTACTGACTGTTGACTTTTGCAATAATACCAACTGTTGAATTGTTTCGGTTGGAAGATTTCCAAGGATAATTTACATTAAGCATTCCAATCTCTTTTATTGAGTGCAGGAACGATTTGTAAAACGGCGGGACCGCCTGATTGGCCCCAATTCGTCTACTTTGAAGGTGCATGGAGTAAACCAGATATCATGTTTTATAATTCAATTATATATGATTTCACATTTCATTAGGTACATCCTTATATCTTATTCTGTTTTTCTAATCTTTCACAATATAATTTGAACACAGGCACTTGAAATACTTACAGGCTGTTATATTCTGGTTCAAGTAAGTGTGCTATTCCTTGTGATTGTGATTGCTATATTGTACATTTTTATTTGAAGTGAAACTATGGCAAAAGAATTTTAATTTGCTTGTAAATGAATAGGGAAACACCGTTTCTGTAATGGGTTCATTTAAAGCATTGAAGCAAGTCAGGAGGATTGTGGAAGACTGCATGACGAATGCAATGCATCCCATATTTCATATCAAGGTGATTGTAGTTGTACTATGTGATTTCATCAAGATTGTCTCTCACCTTACAAAGTTAGACGTGAAGGTCTGTGAATGAATCCTCTTTGCTTACTTTTTATCTCTTCCTTCCTGGTAAGCAGACTCTCATGGTGAGGAAAGAACTTGAAAAGGATCCAGCGCTAGCAAATGAGAACTGGGATAGATTTCTTCCAAAGTTCAAGAAGTATGGCTTCTACTTCATTTTTCTTTATTTCTTTAACTCCGTGCATGCTGACAACTGTTATTGCCTGCCTATGTTTTGTAGGTGTCTTGGGCACTATTATTTCAGTTTTGAACTATTCTCTCTCTTTCTCTCCCCAGGAAAAATATTAATCAAAACAAGGTCAAGAGTAAAGAGAAGAGACCATATACACCATTCCCGCCTCCTCAGCAACCTAGCAAGGTGAGTAATTTGCTACCCGACTCTTGTATGGTCTATCTTCCTGCAAGGGTTCCTTGTGAATGAGGCATAATAAGGTTGCTGTTCTCCTGATACGCATAACAAAAGTAGCTACTTTTGGAAGCTGTTATGTCTATAGATAAAGTATCTTCTCTACCTAAAATTATTAAAATGTCGGTGATCTCTGTCGTAGTTAATTGTAGAGGCTTAACTTTTAGATGTTACTGAACACGTTTGCCTTCTTTCTTCCCCACTTTTTTATACCATTTTAGTTCTTGATTGATGTCTGATTCTATCCGTTTAAATATCCCTCCTTTTCCAAGTAAAATTAAATTTTTGGAAGAAATTTTTTTTTATATCAACTTGCATTTTAGTTGTCATATAAATTTCATTTTTCTGTTGCTTTCTCAGATTGACATACAATTGGAAACTGGGGAATACTTTCTGAACGACAAAGTGAAATCAGCAAAGAAGTGGCAAGAGAAGCAGGAGAAACAGTCTGAAAAAACCGCAGAAAATAAGCGAAAAAGAGAAGCTGCTTTCATTCCTCCAAAGGTAGGACATAGATGTTTTCTGTTTGTTTTGTGTTAAGGTGCTATGATTCTTGAAGTTATACATCTTCCTACGAGCTGTTGTTAATTTTCCGTTTTTCCTGATTCAGGAGCCTGTAGTTCAGGATACCAAATCTGATGATGGTAGCAAAGATCTGGCTGCCGTGGCCACATCTCTGAAGGTGAAGTATAATGATAGAAATAAGGCATGCTAGAAGCTTACATTTTGATCGCTCTCTAGAAACATGGTTGTCTTGTTGGTTTCGTTTTACCTTACCTCCTTTTTGCTGGTTGTTTTGCAGAAAAAGGCAAAAGAGTATGGAATACAAAAAATGGCGGAGAACGTAAATCCAGAAGCATATCTTGCGGAGTCTGGAGAACCATCGAAAAAGAAATCCAAGCGCAAGCATTCTTAGATATAATTTTGAGTTGTGATTTGTGATAGATAGGCTCATAGATGAGTGTTGGACATGTATCATCTGATCAAACTCTGGATGGTTTGAAATGTAAGGAATTGTTGTCCACACCCTCTGATGACATTATTAAGTCGATAATCGACTCATTTATTTGTCCGTGCGCCATCAATAGTGTAACGAGCAATCGAAACGTCCCCTTTTTAAACTTCTTCTCAGGTTTAGAGTTCAAACGGAACTAATTCCCATATGATTTCCAGTAGCTTGAAATTTTCGTGGGTGTTACAGACTAGCAGAGCAATTTCGGCACATGTTTTAGTGGAGGGATCCGAACGCTAGACCTATCATAATCTTAACCTACACCTCACCCTCCCTGCAATTGCTTCCTGTTTCATTCGTTACGCTTTTATACCCGAATTTCTTTGCAGGCTGTGTATCCGGAACAAACGCCTGAAAGACTGCTTTCTCACCGAGCTCTTGGAATGTGTCAACCACATTTTGAAGCCGGGCAACAAACTCAATCAGTAGCGAAGCAAATGTGGCCAGGGACAAGGCGCTTGCGCTTCCATATGTTCCACGGTTACATTCCTTGATAACGCCACTGCTGCCACCGAATGAGAGGGGCAAGGGCCAAGATGCTTGGTCCCCAAGCATGTCCTCTGATGAAGCATTTTGTGGTTCGTTAGGCCATCTTCCGATTTCCCAACTCTCTGAATTGACCAGAAGATATGATCTCTGTTCTATCTTCTTCTGCAGTTCCTCTGCTGCCTGATGCACGTCTTTGAGCACGTCTCCAGGGCCTAATGCTTCCATCTTCTCCACTTTCTTGGCGAGTTCCAGCAAAACTTTGGCAGCTTCAGCTCCAACCCGCTGGAGTTCATCACGAAAAACCTGCCTCTTTTCTACTGGTGCCTACATGTAGTACAATGCCTCAATGCACCACTTAATTTCACAAAATTTGTCCAAGGATAATTGAACATTCGGTAACGCCCATGAGGTGGTTCCCAGACTGCAAATCCCAACTGCACACATACAAAAACAAGTCAATTGGAAATCAAAACTCCCAAGAACTTCCGGGTTGTATGAGTGCTTTCTAGAGAAACAACTCTAGAAGAAGTGCTTATAAGCAGAAGTGCTTCTTATTGAAAAGATTCAAACGGGCCATAAAATCAACCCCAATTCTTGTCCAGCTTGGGGTAAATCATACCAGAGTTTCTTCTTGGCTTGTAGATTCTACCACGGATCGATAGCCCTTGTACAGTAGATCATCTGCAGCTTGGTACGTAAGAACTCGTGAGGGGATCCTCTCATATTCGACACATTTTAGGTACCCGTTAACGCAGCCTAAGCAATAAAGTGGAGCAGATTAATAGAGCAGAAAGCTGACTAGAAAGTAAAGAAAAAATTCACACATTGTAATTGTACCTTCTAATGAAGCAGCAACTCCCTTGAAATTCTTCACTACCAAGTTATGCAGATCCTCTCCCGACCATATCGGGTATATGCATATGTTAACAGCTAAACAAACAGCAGCTCCCACTGCAATAAGAACCAGTCGAGTCACAACTGCCACATTGTACTCCCTTGTTCTGTTCCCAGCAACCATTAGGATGCAGTATGTCAACATGAAAACTCGAAACCCGTACTCGTAGGGCTTCATTGTTGGGCACAGCTTCAAGTAAGACGCAAAAAATCCTGAAGGGTGTCGAGAAGAAGCAGAGTTAGAAAAAAGGTTGAATTTAACTATGATTTTAATTTGCAATTAGTACTTATACGAACCAACGATAAATATGCTTATGACAATCACAACTTCCTCCAGTTTTGCAGCCAGCAAAGATAACTCGGAAAAGCAGAATGCAAGCATTCCGGCAAACAAGGTTCCGAAACCGCGGTTAAATCCTTTGATGAAAGTCCCACCTGCACGAAAACGGAAAACTGAAAACTGAAAGCGAAAAGCGAAACAATGGTTATCGAACAGACCTAAATTGTTACGTTACGTTCTGAAATCAAACAAAGCGTACCGATGCTGAATTCGAACATCACAATTACAGTGAGGATAGCCCAGATTGAGTACTGACTAACGTCGCGATACGATTTTTTCCAAAATATTAGCAAAGAAACCGTGGACAAAGCGAGTCCCATTTTTATTGCAAAGATGACTTTCCTGGGATCAGAACGGCCCATTTGCCATGTTTTGTAGCAAAATGTAGTAAATCTTTCCAAGAATTCATCATCTTTTTACCCATCGAATTGAAACGCATGCATCTGCTTTCTGCATTTTCGTACTCAGCTTCTTTGAAGCTGCCCAGAAGTGGCTTTTCCATGCTGTTCGCAGACGAATTAGCCCAAGTGAGTCTCTCTTCCTTTTAACCTGCTGCGGCACTTCTCTCAGTAATAGAGAAGAATGCACGTCTTTGGACTTACCCAAAAAGCAATATGCATCTCTTTCTGGTTGAAAGTAGATCCGTACTTAATTGCAGTCCTCTGGTCACTTTCACGTGCATACGCATGGAAGAGAGAAAAAGTTAAAAATGTTAAGAAAAATTAGAGTACATAACTCTAATATAAGTGTTGGAGAGACAAAATAAGTAAATAAATTAGAGTACATAACGGTTCTTTTGCTTTAAACTTCGACTCCTCGTATGGTAGTTCATGTGCTTTACCATACTGGCATCCTGCACAAACCATGTATGTTCTTACATCAAGCTGAGATAGCCCTTTAAGCATTGACTTCTTTATCATTACATTTAGCTTGTGATTACTAACGTGACCCAATCTCATGTGCCATAGATCTGATGTCTCGTTCTTCCTTGTCTTGCCTACATATGCAGTTTCTGCTAACATTACATAGACTGACTACAGTAGCTGTCCCTCCAAATATACGTATCTCGTTTTACATTTTAGCTATAGTAAACCGAGATACATGTCCCCTTTTTTTTTGTAGCAAAATAAAAATGAAGTCGTAGTGCTAATTGTATTACTATTTTCTTTTTTATAGTAAAATAAAAATGAAGTCGTAGTGCTAATTGTATTACTATTTTCATTCTCTTTAATACAATTTATGTTGGGTATTGTTATTCAAACTCTTTTTTACCTCTCACACATCCTTGTTGATTTTTATTTATTGATATTCTTCAATTCTTCCAATTCGAAGGCCAGAAATTAAGAATGAGAGATAAAAATGAGTTTGTAAATAGGACCACCCTTTATTTTACCTGGGTCACTTTAAAATATGAGCCTCCAATAAAAAGAACATACAAATGAAACATAAATACAGGTGTAGAAGGAAGAAAAAATGGTGCGCAAAAGCCCTTTTTAATAATTATTGGTCCTGTGGCTTTACCCAATGGGGGGAAAACTTCACGCCCTTGTCTTTGTGTTGTTGTCTTTGGGAAGAATAAAGGAAGCTTCATGTTCATATTGCAGTACAATGTTTTGTCTTTGTTACACTTATTACAATCAGACATTTACTTGCTGTAAAAGCTACAGTTCCTCGTCAAGATTCAGACAAACAAGGTAAGCAACTAAGCCAACAACTGGTACAAATCTAAGATAATTTACGATACCAATCTTGCTGCTCTCAACATCTTGAAGATTGTCACCTATTAACCAGGGCTGGAAGACGGCGTAAGAACAGATATCCCAAATGAATGCATAAGCCAGCCTCTCTGATCCCAGGTAACGGATCAAGAACTCCCATCTTTCTGAAATGCTCCCAAAGTTTCCGTCCATTCGGCCAAAAAGTGCCCACAATGCAGATATCAGACATATCGCTCCGCCAGCAAGTCCAACGATGGGAGCACCATTGGTCATCACGGACCCGAGCTGTGAGCCCTTGCTTGGAGTGTAGTCTGACTCAGCCTCATTCAGCCGGGTAGCCATGTAAGATATTAGAAAAGCTGTTCATATCACATGCACAACAACATTGATCAAATTGATGGAAAATGTAACTGGTCTCCAAAAACATTCCCATTACAAAGCAAACATAAAATCATAGACCGATAACAACTAGCTCTTGACCTAGTGATCTGTTTCTCAATCACGAAAGAGATCCTGCGTTTGAATTTGCCCTCCCGATTATCAAAATTCATAGATTAATGCTCACATAACGACAACAATAAGTTTTGGACAAAAGCATACTAATAGTGAGAAACATCTGAAAACCCCATAAGGCCTAGAGAGACCACTTGTATCTGTCCCTCTTTCGATCCGTGAACAGCAGAGGAGCAAAACATGAATGTCCACCCAATCACGAAGTTGAATAATCCTTCAGACATCTAAAAAACAAATTGTCCAATGTCCATGTCAGAAAAGATGCTTAAATTGTAAAACTTGGTAGTAAAAACCAAATTCACTTGATATGACAAATTCTGACCGGGTGAAGAACCGGGGCATCAATCAAACCAACACCAATTACTCTTCCAACAAGTTAATTGCAGATATCATCAAAAACAAAATTAATTAAAGTTTACCACTACTAGATATGACTAATATAAGCTGGGATTCCACCGTACCGGTATCTCGAGCCAATCATACACGGTCACCTGTTTTTATGTTCCGCACTCTAGTGCCTTGTTAACTTGGGATATGTCACCGTGATGGAGCAACATGGAAATTGAACTCAGAAAATGAATAACAGATTGATTGAGCATACCGGAGTAGATAAAAGGCAAAATGAAGAAGGAATTCAGAGAGAGCCCCACAAGAGAGTTCACTGTATCCGAACTAATTGCCCACACTGGGTCTCCCTGAAATCCCAACAAGGCAACATCTTTGAGCAGCTAATTATAATTATATATATATAAATGTATGTATGGATGTATGTATGTATGTGTGTGTGTGTGTGTGTGTGTGTGTGTGTGTGTGTATTACTACATATATATAAGAATTACTCGAAGTACATTAATTTACACACAGGAGCATAAGGAAGGAGAAAAAGCCACAAAATGTAGATTCCCTCAGCAAGCCATACAGCAATCTGAAGCAGCCGTTCTGAGCCGTCGTTCTCCTGCTGGATGGCGGTGGTGTATTTCGGGCGATCCGCGCGGCACATGTGCGATGTGCGGCTTCAATTTGGAGTTCCTTTCGTGGGTTGCGGGCGGTTGTGAAGGCCGCGTTTGGGAGTCCAATGCCCCAGACAACGGCTTTTGCGTGCAAAATTGGGTCTTGGGTCGAGAGCTGAGGGAGCGCTTGTTTGAAAAACCGGCGCGGCGGTTTTTGCAGCAGAGCAGAGGCGAAGATGTCGCGCTGACGGTGGCCATCGTTTCTGAGAAACGAAAAGTCGCTGCGTGGCCTGCCTCTCAGCGCCAAATTAACGATTTTGTTTGCTTTACGTAAATTCGAGTATGAAACAGGGATAAAGTTGTCCATTAGAAAACCACTTTTAAATTGGAGATACGGCGTCGTATACCGAAAGGGAGCTCATTATTGTCGTTTTCATTTCAAATCGAGAGCCAAAAGCTTTCGAGTCTCCGAGAAGCTTCTTCTTCCCGCCACTTTCCGTACAGTTTCCGATTCTCCGGACGGAGCCGTGGAGTTTCCGATCAATGGCTCCCAAATCCGAAAACCCAGAAGGTAATCCGAGTTCTAGCATTCTCCTGTAATTTACTCGATTTGATTTTCGATCTACGTTTTACTGAATCGCTAAACCTCTTTGTTGCCTTTGGTTTTGTGGAAACGTTACAGCAATCGTCCTCAACTACTTGAACGAGGTAAAAATAATCTTTCGTTTCTCCTATTGCAATCTAATTTTACTGTAAAGTCGAATAAATTGGTAATGTGTGAATTTCCCTTCCGATTTTTGGCCTGTTTGGTAGGTGAGAAAATCGAATTGTGATTAATTTTCTCTTTTTAGTAGCTGCTGCTGTTGCTGTTGTTGTTGCTTTCCTCTTTTTGATTCGCTGTAATTCTACTAATTAGCGTTTAATTGAAGGAATTATTAAGCCTAAAACAAACAGATTATTGCTAAGTAGAGTTTGTGCTCGTCCTAATGCCGACGGTAATTTGCACATCTTTGTCCAGCAAAATAGGCCGCTGAATTCTCAAAATGTGGCGGATGCGTTGCAGAAGTTCAACCTCAAGAAGGCGGCCATACAAAAGGCGCTGGACACTCTTGCGGATAATGGCAAGATTTCGTTCAAGGAGTATGGCAAGCAGAAGATCTACCTGGCTCGGCAGGACCAGTTCGACATTCCAAACGGCGAGGAGCTTACCCGAATGAAGCAAGAGAATGAGAAACTGCAGGAACAGCTGGGTGAACAAAAGAGAGCAATTAGCGAGGTTGAGGGAGGTATCCGTTTACTATTCCTTCCTACATTCCATGGTTTCGAGAATTGCCTCTGGTATTCGACTTTCTAATTCTCGGTTTAAGATTTTGCCTTACGGAGTTTGAAATTTCGCGATGCACTTTCGTTGCAGAAATTAAAACTTTGCAGTCACATTTGACTCTGGAGCAAATAAGGGAGAAGGAAGCAAAACTGAGAAAGGAGGTAAGTTAATTCGATAGGTTCGTGCTTGATTAGGTCAAAATATGTGACTGGGAAAAAAAGGGTATGGAACATGGATGAAGTCCGGTGTTTTGAATTCTGTATTAGGTCAATGAAATGGAGGACAGACTGGAAAAATTGCGCGGAGGAGTTACGTTGGTCAAGCCAGAAGACCGCAAGGCGGTTGAGCAAATGGTCTCTGAGAAAGCCAGTCAGTGGAGAAAGCGTCGAAGGATGTTCAGAGATCTGTGGGATGCTATTACTGAGAACTCACCGAAAGATGTTAAGGAATTTAAGGTATGCCTACATTGGGATGTTTCGTCTTACGCGCTTATGGATTATGCTATGGTGTGGTTGTGAAGAGGCTGTTGTGCCACTGCAGGAGGAGCTCGGGATCGAATATGATGAAGATGTTGGTGTGAGCTTGCAGTCATTTAGCGATCTGCGCAGTAACAAGAGGCCTAGACTCCGTTGAGTTTTCCAGATGATGTCGGGCATTAGTCAAATGTTCCGAAATTAGTTTCAAACGTATGTATATTCTGCACGCTCCGGAGATTAAAACTTAGGCTTATGTATCCGTTGATTAGTTTATAGCTCCATGGCATTTCGACACAATTTATGTATGTGTATTCTGCATGCCCTGGAAATTCTACTACGGGGCCTCGGTGTATCAAACAAATTTCAATAGATAGAACTGGAAGTACTCACAATCGAAAAATAATCAACCTGAAAACCAAAAAAGAGATAAAGAAACAATCAAATTTGCAATCAAACTCAGAAGCCACGCACCCGTCTAGTCCGCAGAGAGAATGGTCCCTTCTCTATGTTTAATCGTGGCGGGCTTTGCCTTCCAGACCCTCCAGCGATGTGTGCTGCAGGATATTCAAGCCTCGACTCCGCCTTCAAGCCGGATTGAAAACTCGAAGGAATTTGCTTATGAGACGAGGGCATTGTATTTGGTTCTGTAGACATCAAAATTTCAGTGAAATGAATGTTGACCAATAATTAAAATTTCAACGCTCATGTATCACATAAATTTTACATGTAGCGTGTGACTCAACGAAAAATCGAAATAAATTGGAAAAGTCATCAAATATGACACGTGTCAATACCTGGCAGAAATGATTTATTTCATCTGATTATTTAAATCCAAAAATCAAGTTTTGGAATTCTATAAATAGGAGGCCAAGGCATTCATTTAAGGGGGGGGAGAAAGAAGGAAGGAAGGAGAAGGAGAAAGGAAAAGAAGAAAAGAAGGAAGGAAGAAAGAAAGAAGCCTTGAAACTCTAAAGCTCTCAAGCAAACCCCGAAGAATCAAGAAAGCACTTTTCGTTCATCATTCATCATCCATCAACCTTCAAGATCAAGCCCCAACGCCCTTGAAGAACTTCCACCAACTCAAGATCAAGCCCCGACGGCCCTTGAAGAAAGTGTTCATCGCTCATCATCCGTTCATCCTAAGATCAAGCCCCAACGGCCCCTTTGGATCAACAACCTCAACAAATCCACACATCCGTTCATCCTTCAAGATTAAGCCCAGAAGCCCTTGAAGATCCGTTCATCCTAAGATCAAGCCCCAACGGCCCCTTTGGATCAACAACCTCAACAAATCCACACATCCGTTCATCCTTCAAGATTAAGCCCAAAAGCCCTTGAAGATCCGTTCATCCATCAACCTTCAAGATCAAGCCCAACGCCCCTTGAAGATCCATTCATCAGCTGTGCATCCTTAGATCAAGCCCCGACGGCCCTTTGGATCAACAACTCATCCACAAACCCACACCCTACGAAGATAGAATCAGAGGACCAAATTACAAAGAGATTGTAACCCCAAAATCATTAATACAAAATATTATTTTGTACACGTATTCTTGTCGCTTGTTTCAGGAATTATTCGTGTTTACAAATTTGGCACGCCCAGTGGGACAATCTCTACCTCTCATCTCTATCCTCAAATCATCAAAAACGCAAATGGCATCAAGAAAGGATCAAGCTGTTCCTGCAATCAAAGCAAAGAACAAGAACATCATCGCCGCAAGTGGTGATATTTCGGGCATCATAACCCGAAGTAAGGCAAGAGATCTTTTTGCCGCGGCTTCCGCCCCTGCATTAACTCTGTCAAAGGAACAAGAGCACCTGAGGTACGAGCCTGTGATCACCCTAGCCTCGCTAAGGGCATCAAAAGGGGAGAGCCCAAGGAAATACTCAGAGTCCCTACTCTCCGACGCTGATTCAAGCGGCAGTACAACCATGCAAGTCATGACCACTGGAGCAACTTCAATCGAGGAGCAGCTAGCTCAGATGAATGAAGCAATTGCAAAGCTCACACGGACTGTGGAAGAGAAGGACTTGCAGATTGCCGCACTCGTCAACCAACTAGATGCGCAGCTCGACGTGAAAGTCGACCCAATTGTTGGCCTATTAAAGAAAGAAGGCGACGAAGAAGAGGAGCCTCCAGCAGAGAAAGTCGAAGAGAAGCTGAAACTAGACCAAGCAACGGCGTCCATGGGATCTCTCTCTATCCAGCAGCTACAGGAGATGATTGCAAGCACTATCAAGACACAGTACGAAGGAAGCTCGCATGACTCCGTACTGTACTCAAAGCCTTACTCCAAGAGGATTGATGCTTTGAAGATGCCAAGGGGTTATCAGCCCCCAAAATTCATGCAGTTCGATGGAAAAGGCAACCCGAAGCAACATGTCGCCCATTTCATTGAAACTTGCAACAATGCTGGGACAGAGGGAGACTACCTCGTTAAACAGTTCGTGCGTTCACTGAAAAGTAACGCTTTTGACTGGTACACTGACCTCGAACCTGAGTCTATCAACAGTTGGGACCAGCTAGAAAGGGAATTCCTCAACCGTTTCTACAGCACTCGTCGTACTGTAAGCATGCTAGAGCTGACCAGCACGAAACAATGGAAAGATGAACCTGTCGTCAACTACATAAATAGATGGCGTTCTTTAAGTCTGGATTGCAAAGATCGGCTTTCTGAAACCTCTGCCATTGAGATGTGCGTTCAAGGCATGCAGTGGGGACTACACTACATCCTTCAAGGCATCAAACCACGAACATTCGAGGAGTTAGCCACCCGCGCCCATGATATGGAGTTAAGCATCACCCGTCATGGGAAGAAAGAACAGATCGCCGACTACAAGAATGACAAAGTTTTGGGGCCAAAGGTGGATAAGGCTACGTGGAAACCCACCAAGGAAGCAATGACGGTCAACACAACTCCAGTCAAAATCCCTACACGAAGCAAGGCAATTCAAACCGAAGCTTTTCGTGATCAAGAGATACGTAGGCGCACTTTGAAGGAGCTTGAGGAGAAGACTTATCCATTCCCCGACTCTGACGTGGTTGCCATGTTGGAAGACTTGCTTGACAAAAAGGTGATCGACCTACCTGAGTGCAAACGGCCAGAAGATATGAACCGTACTGACAGTCCAAGGTACTGTAAATTCCACCGCTTCATTAGTCATCCGACGGAAAAGTGCTTTGTGCTAAAAGATCTCATCATGAAGTTGGCTCAGAAAGGGATCATCGAGCTAGATCTTAATGATGTGGTGAAGTCAAACTATACCACCGTCACTTCTGGCTCTCTGAACTCAAAATTTTCACCTCAACCGCTGGGGGCATGCTCCAAAACCATGTCAGTCAAGTCAAGTGAAGTTGAAGGGTGGACTTATGTCACTCCAAAGAAAATGCACAAGAAACATAGGTCTCCTCCACAAGTTCACCAATCGGAAAGGGGGCAAAGCAGCCAACGTCAACCGTCAAAGCTACATGAAAGTGTTGAGGATGATGAAGTTGTGACACAAAGATCGTCCGTTGCCATCACAATGCGCGATTTCTTCCCCAAAGACTTCTTCAATCACTCAGTCAAGACTCCTTGCTATGAAGATTGCAAGGAATGCCCCTCTAAGATCGTTTGACAAATTCAAAAAGCTCCTCGTTCGCACGAGCCTAAAAGGCGACAACCAAAGCTCCTTGTCCGCACGAGCATAAAAGGCGACAACAAACGCTCCTTGCCTGCACGAGCTAAAAATGCAAACGGCACCAAGACGCTCCTGGCCCGCAAGAGCATAAACTGTGTACGGCAAAATCATCACCAAAATCATCATCAAAATCATCACCAAAATCATCATCAAAATCATCACCAAAATCATCACTCATTTGAACTACGTTATGACTTGATCTCTTCTTTGGAAGAGTACGTAGGCAACTTGAAACTTCAAAACTTCAAGTACAGTCACATCAAAATAAATAAATAAATGTTTCATTAAAGAAAGTCAATTTTATTACAAAAGAAAAAAAAAATAATATATAGATATAATAAAAAGAAAGAAAAAACAATGGTGGTGCTTCTGGCACCATCTGAAATATATATATATAAATGAACGGTGGATCAGCGCCACCGAAAGCAAAGGAAAAAATAAAAAAATGATGATGGACGGTGATGTACATGTTTTCTCTGTATTTAGCACAATACACTAAATAAAACAAAGCATGTTCATTGATTTTCCAGAAATTACAAGTTTGTACAAAAAAAAAAAAAAAAAAAAAAAAAAAAAAAAAAAAAAAAAAAAAAAAAAAAAAAAAAAAAAAAAAAAAAAAAAAAGATGGAGCTTTCACAAAGGTCGTTCACGTGAAGCTCCACTACTCGGCCAAACTCCAGGAGCGGGAAGCACCGAAGATAGATCATTCGAGGCCCCAATACTTGGGGGAACGCTTGATGACGCCGGAAAAATGTGCCTCTGGAAGAAAGACGCAAGCCTTTGACGGTCACTTTGAACGCGACCTTGAGATTCTTGCATCTCATCAAGCTTCCTCTTCATGCCCGACGAATAGTTATTTGCAAGCACATGCAAACTTCTATTCTCGTACTTAAGCTGTTTAATCTCCTGCTTAAGATCTTCCACCTCTGCCATCAATGATTCCACCTGACGGGACCGAGCAAGCAGGCGTTGGCCCATGTTGGACACAGAGCCCGCACACTGAACACTAAGAGCGAGGGACTCTTGAACGGCCAACTCATCGGACCGTCCTGAAAGCAGCCTACTATCTTTTGGTGTGAGGAGGTTCCTAGCTACTATTGTAGCTGTTGTTGCATCCTGCATCACTGAGTCTTCACCTGTAAGAGGACCGTTAGAAGATAAGAAAGACGGGCACCATACATTACCTTGACGCGGCGCAACCGGATCACTGCTGAGATTCAATTCTAAGCTAAGGTTCGATGGGTTAGCCATTTTTCAAAGGTATTAAAAGAGATGGGTGGATGAAGTTAAAACTCAAAAGGCCGGAGATGATTTTCAGGAATGAGCAACCTTCAAAGTGTGCATGTTAGAGGTGATCAATACCTCTATAAAGAAAGAAGAGGCGCTTGCTCAGAAATCAAAGAGGCGTTGGTTCAGCAATCGAAGGGCCGCTTGTTCAAAAGTGAAGAGACATCGCTCTGCAAATCTCAAAAGCTGGATTTTTCCGGCATAAGTTAGGCGACGCTTTCTCGGCTTTCCAGAAAACGCGTTCAACTTTGTCAAAAGATCTCCGACAAAGTTGAAAACACGTGGAGGCTGGCGACGCTTTCGCGGCTTTTCAGAGCACGGGTGCCACTTTGTCAAAAGATCACGTGGAGGTCATCATCGCAGCTACACATCTTTGGCTGACAAGCGCAAAGTTCGGCGACGCTTTCTCTGCTTTTCAGAAAACGCGTGCCACTTTGTCAAAAGAGACGCTCGTTCAGAAATCGAAGAGGCGTCGTTCAGAAATCAAAGAGGCGTATTCAAAGATCGAAGAGTCGTCACTATTTCAAAAAGCCGAATTTGAGGGATCAAAACGTTTGTCGACAAGGGTAAAAGAACAGTACCACCACTTGCTATTGGGAAATCCCTATATATGTCGACCTTCATCTTTTATGGCAAGGCAGACCTGCGAAAAAAAAATGCCCAACTCTTCCTCACCTCCGAGAGTACACTCCCAGCAAAACATCTCAAAATACTCAATTTTTTCCTCTTCCCCAAAGATGATACCAGATGCCTGGAGTACAGATGACCCAGGAGGAAACGATAGATGGAAGCATGTGCTGATTCATTCACCGCTTCTTCAAAAGCAAAAGTATCTCATATCATCAAGGGCGAAAGCAAAGGTATCTCATATCATGCTTTTTCCCTGTCCTTTTCTTTGTCCTTGCTCTTACATGCAGGAGAAGGGGAAATAGAGTTATCAGTCGGAACCTGAAATCAAACTTCCGACCTGGAACTGATTGCCTGGAACCTTTGCCTGGTTGCTTACCTTGCATTGCTCTCGAGTACTCATCGTCGCCGAGAAGTAATGTTTTGAAGCACCATTTAAATGCAAAGGTTGCATTCCATTCCTGCATCAGAGGACAAATACTACACGAGAAGATGCCAAACCTGCATAAGGAAATACCACTTCTGCAAAGGGAGCAAGTAAGACAAGTGAAAATGATACATCAAAGCATGTGGAGACAAGCACAACAAATATATGTGCTGATTCATTCGCTGCTTCTTCAAAAGCAAAGGTATCTTATATCATGCTTTCTCCATGTCCTTTCCTTTGTCCTTGTTATTACTCGCATGGCAAAGTGAAAAGAGCAATCAGACGGCACTTGGAGTCAGTTTTCCGATCTACCCTCTTCAATACAAATTGGGGAAAGATTGAACAAAGAAACAGGTCATCACTTCCACCTCGTGCTTGCCTGCCATGTGTATGAATCCTGCTACCCAGTTCAAGAGTAGCACAAAGGAAAATCAACGGTAGGGGGAGACCAAAAGAATCCTCCAGCCCAGTTCAAGAACAAGCCTCGATGGCCCTTGAAGAAATCACAAGTCCGATTCAAAATCAAGTGTTCACCACCCTTGAATCAAATTCAACTCCAGATAAAAGGAGTAAGTTCAGACCTTCGGAGGAGACCAAAAGAATCCTCCAGCCCAGTTCAAGATCAAGCCTCGATGGCCCTTGAAGAAATCACAAGTCCGATTCAAAAATTCAACTCCAGATAAAAGGAGTAAGTTCAGACCTTCGGAGGAGACCAAAAGAATCCTCCAGCCCAGTTCAAGATCAAGCCTCGATGGCCCTTGAAGAAATCACAAGTCCGATTCAAAATCAAGTGTTCACCACCCTTGAATCAAATTCAACTCCAGATAAAAGGAGTAAGTTCAGACCTTCGGAGGAGACCAAAAGAATCCTCCAGCACAGTTCAAGATTAAGCCTGCGGAAAATCAACGATTGGAGGAAACCAGAAAATCTTCCAGTCAAGCTCAAGATCAAGCCTCGATGGCCCTTGAAGAAATTTCCAGCCCAATTCAAGATCAAGCCTCGACGGCCCTTGGGTTGACATCTACATTAAGGGACTTCAAAACGCATCTTCTACACGTGACAAGCACATGTTTACGACGCGCCTTGAAGTGGGGGCATTTGTAGACATCAAAATTTCAGTGAAATGAATGTTGACCAATAATTAAAATTTCAACGCTCATGTATCACATAAATTTTACATGTAGCGTGTGACTCAACGAAAAATCGAAATAAATTGGAAAAGTCATCAAATATGACACGTGTCAATACCTGGCAGAAATGATTTATTTCATCTGATTATTTAAATCCAAAAATCAAGTTTTGGAATTCTATAAATAGGAGGCCAAGGCATTCATTTAAGGGGGGGGAGAAAGAAGGAAGGAAGGAGAAGGAGAAAGGAAAAGAAGAAAAGAAGGAAGGAAGAAAGAAAGAAGCCTTGAAACTCTAAAGCTCTCAAGCAAACCCCGAAGAATCAAGAAAGCACTTTTCGTTCATCATTCATCATCCATCAACCTTCAAGATCAAGCCCCAACGCCCTTGAAGAACTTCCACCAACTCAAGATCAAGCCCCGACGGCCCTTGAAGAAAGTGTTCATCGCTCATCATCCGTTCATCCTAAGATCAAGCCCCAACGGCCCCTTTGGATCAACAACCTCAACAAATCCACACATCCGTTCATCCTTCAAGATTAAGCCCAGAAGCCCTTGAAGATCCGTTCATCCTAAGATCAAGCCCCAACGGCCCCTTTGGATCAACAACCTCAACAAATCCACACATCCGTTCATCCTTCAAGATTAAGCCCAAAAGCCCTTGAAGATCCGTTCATCCATCAACCTTCAAGATCAAGCCCAACGCCCCTTGAAGATCCATTCATCAGCTGTGCATCCTTAGATCAAGCCCCGACGGCCCTTTGGATCAACAACTCATCCACAAACCCACACCCTACGAAGATAGAATCAGAGGACCAAATTACAAAGAGATTGTAACCCCAAAATCATTAATACAAAATATTATTTTGTACACGTATTCTTGTCGCTTGTTTCAGGAATTTCTCGTGTTTACAGGTTCGCTGTCGCTTTCACTCTCATGAAAAACTGTATCCTTCCCAAAACGATTGGCCTGCCCTACGGCATCTGAGGACATTGGAATCACCTCATCTCCATCTGAATCTAAACTTAAAGAAGATATTGACCTCTTTAATTCACCTTGACTTTGCTCACTCGGCGATTCTGATTCAGTTTTAAAGGACTCATATTTGTCAGATAGCTTTCCTCGTTTACTTCCCGGACTATTTTGATCATCGGGATCTTGAGATTCAGACCTAGAGAGTCGCATTGCTGCTTTTGCAGCATCTGCTGCATAAGCTGCAGACTCGAAGGCTGCTTGCGCAGCATCAGCTACATCCTTGTATTTCCTTGGCTTAATCGAACCAGAGAACCTATCATCTCTTCCGGTCTCTTCTGCAGAAGCCTGCACATTATCCGCTGGTCCTGTGCCACTTGAACTGGCCCTGTTCGCATCCGATTTATCCTGCATTATTGATCACGCACAGCAAACCTCAGATACCATGAATAATTTTCAAAGTAACCTCAGTTCTAATCCTCTCGTAATTCTCGTAGTTCTTTGAAATTCCATACCTCAATGGAAACAGAAGACGTCTCTTCCAGCGTCAGAACAATGTTATTCTCTGCGGCTATTTCTTTGAGCACCTTCAATCTGACCTCCAAAACTGGCATCCTAGTTGACAGTTTTTGCATCATCTTCAAAAACCGAAAAACACACAAATCATTAACATGCCGAAATTAATTGGAAAACTTCAGTCTGTTCCGGATCATTACCGTGAGGTTGACTCCACAATTGTTGCGCACTTCGATGGCACGAGCAGCAAATTCCTTGCCAAAACGAGCAGTGAGAACCGCGCGAATCTCTTGAAGCTCCGGAAAATCCCCGCATCTTGAAGCCGCATAGAGCAAACTCGATGTTGCCTCCTTCAGTTCATCAGGACATTCCCTAAGTGAACAAAGACACCGCAAAAGTCATTAAATTAGAATGATGCCAACTAAACAAAAGTACTCAAGTTAGATTAATACTAATTAGTTTAAAAAACCAAACCTTTCTTGTTCAATGAGATGAACCCTTTCGATCACGAGGTTGCAAAAACCCTCGATCATGACAAACACGTCCAACATATTCTGCTCCTTAATCACATGCTCCACCTGCCAACAACAAAACAAAACAAAGTCTCTCAGCCTCGAATTCCAGTAGAAAAATAAGAGCCGTAGAAAAATTTGATCGTTAAGCTATAAGGATTGTTTGGGATGCTTTGGTAGGAAACGCTTATATGCGCCTTTGCTATAATTGCTTTTATTATAAACATGTAAGCGTCCTTTGTTATCTGAAAGCATTTTAAAACACATAAAAAATATTATTAAAAATCCAAGGTGCTTTTCGAGAAAGTAGTTTTACGAGCATTCTTAAATTTTTGGTAATTAGATTAGTAGCGGTTTGGACACTCCTTTTTAGTTATATGAACTCCGAATTGAACGTTTTAAAACGGAACTTACGCGAAGAAGAGCTCGATCTTGGTGACCCTGCTGGAGGAGCTGGACGACGTCGGATCGAGCCTGAGAGCACTTGACCTGGCGCTGTTTTTTGAGAACGGCGAGGCGGGAGAGAGCGAGGTTCAAAACTGGTTTAAACTTGGCCGAGGTCTTGTGACTCCTTCCAAGCAAAGCATCGAGCTTTCTTCCCATTTTTCACCTTCTTCTCTCTCTCTCTCTCTCTGACTCCGGATAATTCCAATGAATGAGGTAGAAAGAGCAAGGCAACAAACGAGTCCTGGATCGTTTGCTGCTTTAAGGGGTGACGACGATGGGGAAAAACTCGGTGACGGTACGACTTTTATATGACTAGTTCGGACTTTGGAGGAGGAGGAGGTGTTGCCGACGTGGTATTTTGTTTTGTTTATTAGGGTTTATATTAGGCTTAGGGGCTAAGTTTCCACAATCATGCACAAGTGGAGGAAACGTGGCTTTTGATAAAACGCGGCTTGTTATGAGCTGGACTATTTCCGCCAAGAGGAGCAAGCAGAAAAAGCATCCACTTGTTCTTACGCTCTTGGGACACGTAAGTCAAAGTGACTCAGCCGGCTGTGGTATACTATCTATTTGAACCATCATTTGTAACATTTCTCTAACAGAGATACAACCCACATAAGTTAACGGATCCCTATTAGAGAGATGGTAGCAATATTCATTTGTATCAACTCTCTGATAAAGTAAAACCCACCAATACATATGAATCTCATCTATACTAAGAAGATGATGCAAACAGATTGTAAGAATAACATTTTTGTTCAGTTTGTGCTTTTTTCTCGAGTAATGCTACATTTATCACATATTTGTACAATCTCTCTAACAAAGTTGGGAGCCGCCAATATACGCAAGTCCCGCATCTACTAGAGAAATGGTACAAACTGATACTACCAGTCGACATTTGGAGAATGGGGTGTCCCAATCGAAATTTCCAACCAACCAACCAGATAGAAACAACATTTCCCCATCTAGGAATAGGGGTGGTCGTGAGCACTCTTCAGTGTGGACTAGGTGACTTATTTGGAGAATTGGGTGTGGAGTCGAAGATTCTTGAAGACGAAGCTTCTCATATGACCCAAAAATTGGAAGAAAGCAAGAGAACTGGTCCCCCAACCCCCAAAGAACCCGGCGGCTAGTCTACAAGTGTAAACTTATCAAAAGCACTAACCCACGCAATTGACATTCACCACCACTGCTGGAAAAAAAAAAGGGGGTTTAGGTAACATGTTACCATCGATTTACAAAAGTATTGAAGGATCACGAAAACAAGCTGTAGAAATTTAAATGCAAACCGCTAAGTCTCACATAACTTTCGTCGGCATCTAACATTTGAGAACGAATCCATCTTTGCAAGAGACCATCAACCCCGATTGCCATACCACACGCGTTAACATAAGTAATACAAAATGTCTGGAACCGAAAGATTACAACTCTTGCATCGTCAATGTAAATTATGTAGCACACCAAAGAAAGTTGATCCCGGTTATAGTTCAGTAGGATGAAAATAAACAATAAAACTAGAGGAAAAATATGCAGAATACATACGACTATTAACACTTTCATCTTCAAATTACAAATCAACCCGGCTGAATGAGTAGCTAGCATAGCATCTCGAGTTAACTAAAAGAGTATATCTGTCATTAGATCAGCATAACTTGTATACCAACTTGCTGGCGGTGAACATCAAACGAAAAACCAAGAGCAGAACCCCAACTAATTACATGAAAAAAGCTACAAACAATAATAGAAGCAATCCCAAGGCAATACATTTCTTTCTTTTAAGGCTTTCTATCACTATATTCTATTGAAACTGATTATAAACAAAACAGCTTATTTGACGTATCAACTCCTTTCAAGATCATCAATAATGAACAACAACGAAAGAATTGTCGAGTCGTAAGAAAATGGTAAAGAGAAACTAAAGTCAGGTGCACAAGGGTACAAGTAATAATTTTTGAGTAGCCGACAAATAACAAGAATCAACCTCTGAAGGCGCAGACCGACAATGTGGCTTAACCTTGTTTGATTTCATGTCATTGTATTCATTCCAGGTGTGTTCGAAAGTGTAGTTCAACGTCGTGAAATCAAATAAGGTTAAGCAACATCCATAAGTACATCAGTTTCAAGGGAGACCAATTATGCTAGTTAATGTTTTAATTTTTCAATAGGAATTAAATTGTGTTTTCTTTAGGTTCCTAAAGTCTTAACAAAACTGTTTAGCCAGTATCCACGTTATAGCCATATTTCTAAAGTATTTTCCATAGGAATACAAGTAAAATTTTGCTTCACAAAAACTGCACACCAAAATAAATAAAAACTATGATTTGAATATACGTACAGATGTCGCAGGAGCAGGAGCATGGGGGCCATACCCTAAAAACATAAACAACAATGTCAATACCATGGATCGTAATGAAATACATTGCACACAAGAAGCAAATTCATAACCTAAATTACTTACTCTGAATTTGTTCTAGATCAAACAGCAGCCTCATGCCTCCTGTGCAAGTGCCTCCAGAACGACCATGAATCAGATGCAATGCAATCTCATTAGGATATGCATATATTTAAAGGGTAGAACAAACAAAAATAAGTAATATATATAATGCTCTCAAGCACAAACAAAGACTGACAGGAAAACAGATGTCTGAATACAATTTCATGCATTTAGTATGATGTCAAATAAAACAAACATGACATGGTACAACACGTCAACTGAACCCTGTTTTAGAAGAACCAATGCACATTTCAGAGTGCATGTACATGCATTAAGACATTCAGATAACAAATACAGTAGTAATTAAGAAACCATCGTCACAATTTCAAATGCAGAACAAATAGCAGACACCGAAAAGAAAAGAAGAGAAAGAAGCTACAAGAAGTCGTCAAATGAATCTAGAGCAGTGACACTAAGACTCAAATTAAATAGATTTCCAAGTCAACCCAGTAGCTTCATCTAGGAACAGAAAAACAAAGCATGCAACATAAAGACATCTATTTCCAAGTCCCTCACAATATTCTCCTAATAAGCAAAACCAAGGTACCTTCTCCTGGGTTCCTTTTAAGCATCTAAGCACTGGAGGGTTGCTGGTATCACATATCCTGAATGAAAAGTTAAATTAGAATCTCCAGAACCCAAATAATTAAGATACAGTGGGTGTAAAGTTACAGCTGACATAAAGGACATGAAAATGAAGGATGTTTAACAAACCTACCAATCATAAACTAAAGAATGAACTTCAATACAAGCAACCAAGAAAATAAATACATAGAAGTACAAAGTAAGAAAACAACTCTTGAAGATAAATATATCTTCTGTTGTACCACAGATTGAATTGCAGAAACCAAGTTCAGAATACACATAAAATCATGATGGAAAATTATAACGGAAGTAATTAATTTTCACATTTGCCAACCATAAATGATTACAGGGGGAAAAGACGTCTTTGGCTAGTTGTCTTACGATAGAAACAGTACAAGGGAAAGAACCCCCGCCAGTGATGAGTACTCCTGACCAAAACATCACCCCTTCTGACTTCAACCATGCCAAAACTGTGCCAAAAGCTCTCAGGCCATCACAGAGAAGAGAGACAATGCCCAATTATTAGAAACTGTATGAATTAGATCAAAATGTACAAATATCTAGCGCAACAGGAATTCTGGAGTCAGAAAATCAGCAACAGGGTTCACTTGCCAGTGATGAAAGGATGGTTCAAAGCTTGTGATACTGTCAACCTCTTATCCGGATCCAATACAAACATTTTATCTAAAAGATCTTTAAAGTCAGCTAGCATCTTTGCATTCTCACCAGAACCCGTAATAAGTGATCCAATATCTTTTGACTTTATATTAAAAATCACCCGATTGATTGCCTGCCCAAGCAGAATTTAAACCTCGTAAGCTTGACAGGAAACCACAAAACTCTGATACTTGACAAGAAATAGACAGAAATAAACCAGACCACAGATGCTTACCTTCTTTGTAACAGGATCATCTTCTGTAGCATGGAAGTTCAGATCCTGATCAAAATGTTGGTGTGTAAAAGCTCCCTATAAGTACAAAAACCAAGACAAGAAAAACATTAGCAAAATGAATACCTTATTGATATAGAACGGGCAAAACAGTTGGGATATATTAGAAAATATTCATACATAAACAGAAATTTTGGTGAATGTCAAACCCAATACTTGCCTTCCGAAGCATCTTCTTTGGGAAAGGGCCTTTCAGTTCCATGTGTAGACGTAGCATATCATTGTTTGTAGCACCGGGAAAAAGAACTTTTCCCGTATAAAGTTCGTACAAACAGCAACCAACTGACCAGATATCCAGTGGATGATCATAAGGCAAGCCAAGAACTGCAACCAAGACATATCAAATACCAGATCAATATTTCAGGTGGAACATATTAATCAAGCAATATATTTAAAATACTAATTAATGCCTCCCATGACTTGAATCAACTAACATTAGCTTAATAAAAAAGAAAAGAAAACTTACTTATTTCAGGAGCACGATAAAAGCGGCTGACGAGGTATGGTGTAACCTCATTCTTTCCAGCGAACATGGCATTACCAAAATCACACAACTTCAACACATTATTTGACTCATTTACCTGAAGCATAAATTATTAATGAGAAACATAAATGGTTTGAGATAAAATCCAATCATCAAAAAGAGTAGTAGACACCTACCAGCATGTTATCTGGCTTTATATCACAATGAAGGACACCGCAGTTCTTTAAATGCTTCAGTGCAATAAAAAGCTGCTTAGCATATTCTCTGACGCCAGTTAGGTTAAGACCAATATTGCGCCCAAACTTCTTTAAGACCTCACGAAGATTCATATGAAGGGATTCAAACACTAAACAAAGATGATTTCGATACTTGAAATTCGACAGAAAACGAACACAGTGGCGCTTATTATCTGGATCGTGACCTGCTAATTTCTTCAATATGGTCAACTCAGTCATTCCAGCCTTTAACCTATTCACATAAAAGAAGCAATAAAATGGGTAAAAGAATGATAGAAAACCAAAGCCAATAACAATGCAAGTGGTCTCATAATCACTTACATGGTGTCATTGCTCCGTATCATCTTAATTGCCACTTCTTCAGGTTCACCATTACCAACTGTAAGGTTCTTTGCACGGACTACTGTCGAAAACACACCCTTCCCATGAGCAGCAGTGATTTCATATCGAGCATCAAGTAATTCTCCAAACCGGTAGCCTTCACAGGATCATCGTAATAAATTAGAAAAGTAAAAAGACAGTAGGAAGAAAATAAAACATATCTTGGATGAAATATCAACCTAGGTAATCAAGTAACGCAGCATTGTATTTTGTATAACTTCAAAATGCAACCGAGAACTGTAAACAAGGAGGAATAGGGTAGAAACTAATTCGGGCAACAAGAGAGAACATGAGTGGCTATATGGAGATGCGAGATTTTATTAAAGCACCGCATGAAGAAGGGAGGGAGGCATGGTAATGCAACTGTTAATTGAAAGGGACCATTAAAAGCCTAGCACAGGTGGAGAAAATTCCCAGCAAGAAATAGCAATAATTTGAAAGACATATAAGAACTGGTCATATACTTACTGTAGTACCCTTCTGCATCATCCCAGTTATCATGAAGACCACTCCTTTCAATCCGTACACGATCTCCTTTTCCCTGCACACAAAATAGAGCATAAGATTTAAGTCTAGCCGTACACTATATGACTGATAATCATTCTAGTGTTCCCACACACCAAAACTACCAAAACGTTGATGTAATTTGAGTATGAAACATACAAAAAAAAAAAAAATTAAAAATTGGCACTCCAGAGTCCAGATAATCTTTCAAATGAGACAATGAAAAAAAGTCATTCAGATATTGCCCGTGTAAAACTATGAAATTAAAGAAACTGCCATGAATACAAAGTCACAACAAAAATGACAAAATCAATCACAAATAGATAAACATGTAAACTAAAGCGCAGAGTAACAAGCAACATGAAAAAAGGCCAATGCTTTCTCGTTGTTGTCCATGCATAACAAAAACATGAGCACATTAAAGCAAACTAATACCAGCTCAACTACATGAACGTTATTCAGGATACAAGATTAGACTTATATTTAATGAACCTTTTATCAATTTCTAATCCACACCATAATTGCAAGAATAAAGTTGCACTGCATGGGAAACTAACATATGCATGACATTGAAACTCACCAATTTTTGAACTCCAACTGGGGTCTCACCAAAAATATCATCAACGGCAACAGTTCCTTCACTCTGCACAAGTTGAAAATAAAAATAAAATTTACATAAATCAGTTAAATTCTAAACCCTGCAAGCCAGGTTTGGTCGTAAAATGTCAAAACTTTGGGTTTCGACAACAAATGAATCTACGTTTAATAATTAAAAAAAAAAAATATTATCATAAAAAGTCTGGATAATATGAATTTCAGAAAGAGTGGACTGACCTCTGGAGTACCCTCTCCAAGCCCCGTGGCACCAGAAGGCATTCTAGAAGTATCAGCACCATTCTGCTGAGGTGAAACAGAAAATGCAGCAACAGACACATCCCCATCACTCCTTCCATCATCAGTTTCTAGACCAGGTTTGACAGAAGCTGCTGATTGCTCCAGATGATCTGCAGGACCTTTATCCGCTGATTGCTCCAGAGGCTGAGGCTCAAAATGCTTCTGCAACTGTGACTCAGTTTGTTCTTGTAGACGCAACTCTTTTGTTTGCTGTGACTGCTGACTTTTATATTTTTCTAAGATGGCTTGTTTTATTCTCCGAGACTCTTCCTTGATTCTATCCACATCATCCTCTTCCTGGCCAGCAACTTGAATGCTTTCGTCTTCATCTTCATCTCTACAAAAAAGGGAATATATACATCAAATGGTAAAAAAAATGGGAAGGGGAGGGGCAAGGGGGGGCGGGGCAGGGGTTGGTGTTTAAAACAAGCAACTACCTTTCTAACATGTCTTCATCCCCTTCGACAGAATAATTCTTTGGACTCTGTACCTTTGCTGGATCAGTTTTACTTCTTCTGTCCTGGTCGTATTCTTTTCCATCACGCCTTGATCGAGCAGATTTATGCCTATCTCGGTTTCCATAGCCATCCTCATGATGTTCATATTTCTCCCTCTCCATATCTCGACCCCTATCCCTGTCTCTATCATCTTGCCTCTCCCATTTTCGGTCTGTATCTCTGTCCCTATCTCGGCCCCTCTCCATGTTTCTGTCCCTATCATCCTTGACCCTGTCCCTGCTCCTATTACTATCATCCCTATTCCTATCCCTATTCTCAATGTCCCTACTCCTATGTCGCTCTTCCCTTCTCCTTTCCATATAAACCACTCTTTCCCTGCTATGCTCTCGTCCTATTCCCCTTTTCCTATCCCTACTCCTTTCTCTTTCTTTCTCCCTTCTCCGTTCGCTGTCCCTGATTCTTTCTTGATCCTTCTCCCTTCTCTGCTCCTGATCCACCTCCCTCCCCCTACTTCTCTCTCTTTCTCGACTATGGCCTAATCCGGAGTATCTGCTATAACTAATATTGTGTTCCCTTTCATCATCCCTCCTCAGATCGACACTGTCAATACCCGGAGCCAATCCTTCATCATCAGAGCCGTGCACAGCCTTGCTTTTCTCAACATACGCAGAGGTGTCCCGTTCATGATAACGTCTCCTCTTCGAAAGAGGCTCTTCTTCTATTATACTGCGGGAACGAGATCTCTCCCTCAAACGATCATATGACCTTGATCTGCCCCTACCATGTAGCTCATCACCGCGCCTATCACAAGATGGTGAACGCACCAAGGCATTGTACTTGTCCCCACTACTTCCAGAGGATAACTTTTTCCAATCAGCTGATTTACTTCCATCTTCATACAGTTTTTCATCATCATAGTAATTCTTTCTCTTATCACTTCCTCTAGAAGGAGACCCAGACTCCCTGTGTCGCCTCTTCTCCTCTCTGTGAGATTGGTAGTCCAAATCCCCATTTGCATGATCCTTTACACTACCACTGGAAACTAATTCATCTTGAGGCTCAACAATAGAATCTCTAGGCAAACCAGCCTCATTCCGAGACTTGCCACCAACACAACCGCGGGCATCATCATCATCATCATCATCATGCAGGTGTTCCACGGTCTTTGTATTTTTATTGATGTCATTGTCTCTCTGCCAAAAAACACCAAGAAAAAAAAGTTAAGTGCAAGCAGTAATTAACACTTATCTGAGGAAAACAAAATAAAAAAGTTCGTTAATAACTTAATATGAATTGTAACCAACTCTTACAAATTAAAGTAAGCCATCAGCCTTCATTGATTGAAACGCCTAGGAAACTTCATTTGGAATTGATTCATGTTCGACTAGTGCAAGAGCGGGTTCTTACATATGTATGAAACAATGGCTATGACTCAGCCGCTTGAACAAGCTCTCACCAAACAAATTTCATCACAGTTGAAAAAGAACTATAAAAATCATTTGGCCACTGAAACAACGGTTAAAATACCAAAATTTCCGAGATTTTCAACTAACAGAATTTTGGAAATGAAAAGAAAAGAAACCCCATTTAAATTTGAAACCCGATCAATTATAAATTTCATGAAAACAAGCAAGCAGCAGGGAAATTATCCAATTTTCCAAAACAAACAAAAACTTTCAGCAACCAAAGGCACAATCAATGAGAAATCAGAAGAGAATGGGGGGAAATCAGAACACACCAGATTCCGCTTATTAGAATGATCGCCAACTCCAGAAGCCTCAATTTCACCAGACTCCGCATTGGAAACGCCATCATCTCGACCACCGACATCCCTCCTCGTCGAGAATTTCGCCTTCCTCCACGTCTTCAACCGGCATAGAACCATTGACACCGGAATCATATAACTCAACAGGCCGCGGTGAAGGAGCTTCGACATCGTCGACGACAGCCTTGGTCTCCTCTTCGCGCTTTTTGCTGCCGTGACGGTGACGATGGTGGTGGCGGTGGTGACGGTGCCTGTGGCGCTTGGACGACTTCTCGACGGCCTCTTCGTCATCGAAAGAGGCACCACGGTGCTTGCGATGCGAGTCCTGGGCGTCGCTGGTCATCGGGAAATCTAGGGTTAGGGGTTGAGCTTTTTGTCGTTTTCGAATTTTGGGGGTTTTGCGAGAGTCGGAATTACGTGAGCGAGCGAGAGATTTGGTTTTATTTATGAGATTTTTTTAACGAAATTACAAATACTTTTGAGATTTGAGATTTTGAATGTGGCATATATTGGGCCGATATTTGAGATTTGCGTTTGATGGTCTTCTATTGCTGTTTTATCCATTTATTGGGCCAATATTTTAGATTTTTGGGCCTATATTAAGCAGCCCAAATACATTTTTCCTTTATTTACCCAAAAAAAATGTTTTTCCGTTTTGCATTGTGTATTGCTAAGAAGATTAAATTTATAGACTAAAATTTAAAACTAAAGGATATAGAAATTGATGATTAGTTTATTACTTAAGATTTGATAAATGTGTTCATTTCTATTGGTGACACATTATTTAGTCTGCAAATTTTGTATCCAAATTTAGTCTCCCTAGCATTACCCTTTTGCATTTGCATAAATTTTTCAGTTTGCCTAGATACTATGCGATAAATCAAGTTCTATCATAAGGTTTTTTCCAATGTTTGACAAAAAAAAATATTACAACCAATTGTATTATAATACTTTGTGTATTGTTTTCAACACAATGAATAATTTCCCTCACAAGAGGTTTTATTGTAGCATTGACATTCTAATGTACATATACCAACAAGTAATGAAAAAAAGGACATTTGAATTGTTGCTAATTACTAGTAGCAATATAATTGATGTGGTCTAATGGTAGTAATCATAGCCCTTTGCTCCATTTGTTCGTCGCTGCCATCTAACTCTTGGATTTCTAGAATTTCAACTCTGCGGTTCATCTTTTTCCTCAACTTTATGGCAACATCTGCCGGTACAAACCTCCCACACACACTCACCCTGCATTGCTGCTTCTCAACCAAATGTGTCTCTATTTCTTCAACACCAAATCAAAAAATCGGATTATTAGTTTTCAAACATATTAGAACCTTTAAACGTATATTTTTTTTTTTAACAAGACAATGTTTGAAACTACTCTAATTTAAGGACGTTCATGCCTACTTCGACGGATATCTTACCTTTCATATTTAGGAGGATCCTTCTTACTTTTCTGCAGCATGCATTGCAGTCAATATTGAGCCTCATCACCAAGCAACAATACTGCAATTCATGCACAAAATAAAGGCGCATAGCCTCGTCAAAATCTCCGATTTTTTTCGGAAAATTGAAATTTTAAACTGTTGAGAAAGAGAAACACAAGAACTTGCCTTTCCTGCCATGAAGTTGGAATTGTCAGAACCTGAGATAAAATTTTGTTGTTTTGATTATTTGGGGGAGAAAAAGTTGATGGAAAAAAAAGTGCTTGTGGAATATTTGAAAAATGTGGATTGTGAGCCAACTGATATTCTCTACTTTTGGGATCTGATTATGTTCCAAGTTAAGAAAGAGGCATTTTTGTTCCTTAAAACTTCACCCTAAAGCTTTGCCTGTTTCCTGACATTATGGCAAGGTCAAGCATCTCACTTTTCTTCAACTCAAAGGTTTATGTTACAGAAAATCGAGTCCCAAAACACCGTGGAATCAAACAACGGACTTAATTATGTACATATCACCGGTTAATCAGCGAGAAAAAACTAAAATACATGTCGAATTTTGTTCAAGGAACGAGGAACATTTGTGTTGGACTTATTTGGCTTGGAATATTCAATCAACTTGAGGAAGTACGAAGCATCCTTCGAATCAATGAAATTTTTTTCAGAGGGTTTTTGTTTACTGCAGCGACTAGCCGAGTGGATGGAACTTTGGCTGCACCGGGTATCTGCATACGAGCGTCACCCTCTTCTCCGACACATTCACCACAACAGATTCTATCTCTGCTAATGAAAGAAATTAGTGTCATGGTTTAAGAGATTGTAATTTGGATTATGGGAATTAATCAAAGACCCCAAGTTGCAAAAGTAGATGAAATAATCAGAAACGTCCATGGAAGCACATGCAGTTGCAGAGGTGGTCCAATTAGGATGCCCTAAAACATGACTAGCAGACAACATATACAACTGGTATGGATTATGCTAATAGCATAAACAACTAGCCAAAAGGACATTCTGTCACTCTGAATTAAAGTTACCTACTCGCTACTGCAGATAAAGTTCATAGCTTTCATGTTTCACAACAAGTGGGGGTTGGTGTATGTCCATATGTTTCTGTGGCATAAACATTCAACTCCGTATATACTACCTTACTTGTAGTCGTATTTTTCGCAATCTTACCAAAATTGGTAAAGTTATATCAAGTTGCACTGTTTATGCAACAAATATTTTACCTGCAAGACGCTCATTTTGTTGCGTAAACAGTGCAGGTAAAAATCGTAAAGGCGCTTTATTTTATTACCAACAAAGTAAAAGAAAATTAAACAAATTCATATTCCAATTTGCCATGACTGTTCCAAATCATCTTAATGAAAGAGGATGAGGAAACTTACCACCCAATTTTGACATCATCTCAGAAAGTCTCTTTTGGCAATCGCTACAACTTATGTCAGCTGAGAGAACGACTTCCTGCAACTGTTTTCAACCATAAATACGCAAATAAATAATCAAAAGAAGACCAAAATGTAAGTGAATAAATCAATGAGATAGAGAGGGAGAGAGAGGGAACAAACCAGAGGCATGGACAAGGATTCAGCAGAGGCAAGACTGGTTCCGGGAGAAAGCGATCGAGACTTCATGACGAGTATTCCGAATCCTGCAGGGAGCTCCTGGTTAAGCCATGATGAAGGTCAGCACCACCGCAGGCCATGATCTCACAACTTAAACACAGCAATTAGATATTCGTTGTCGAAACCAGAAGGTGAAAAGGAGAAAATGATCGAGCAGCGGCTCCCCTGCACGGCTGAATACCGACTGACAGAGCCTTGCTACTTTTCTGAGGCAATCGAGTTCTTCATACCAGTTGGTAGAATTAGAAAGAAAGGGAAACGCAGATAAATTAAAACTTGTTAAAGCAGCAACAGCAACAACACAAAAGTACCTTTTTATCTACTTCACTTTTGCCCCCACAAGAGCACTAATTTTTCCTTCTCCATACTTATACGACATCATTCCTACATAGGACATTGATGTCGTAGGGCAATACTGATTGCGATACAGCTGTATTTTAGAGCCGTTTATGTATTAAACTGTGCAGGTTAGTCGTCGTTTTGGTGGGCTCTGCCTAAGCCTATCGCTCTGTTCTTTCATAGGATCCCTTCCCATCCATTGCATACAATCAGGCTTCAAAACTTCTGGAAAGAAAGGAAAAAAAGGTTGATTGGATAGGGATCTGCAACGGTACATGGAACCTAGGATCCCTACATCTGTATGATTGTATATAGCTGTTTGTGTATAATTGTATATAGCTGTTGTGTTTAAGCGCGACCAAGTCAAATAAAGCAACTCAACCAACAGAGTCAAAAGTAAGAGATGGAATTTGATCAATCACAATGACAAACGGCCAACGGTAATGACAAAAGGAAAGACAACATATTCCCTTTTTTTTTTTTCCTCAATTCACAACGCATGACTTGAAATTGTTATGCTTTTTTTTAAAATTGTTTTTATTATGTTTTAAAAATAATCAGCTGCAAAATAAATTAGTTGAACATTTGATAAATTGTAATTTTTTTTTTAAAGTATTGTGGGTATAAAAGAAGTGTTTGTTAAATTTATAAAAGTTATATAATTACAAAAACATAGTAATGAGGGTGTCGATGGCAACAGTGGTAGCACGAGAGAGTGGTGGTGGCAGCGGCCACAATGGTGCTTGTGGTAGCAATGGTGGGGATATGGTGGTAGTGCCAATAGTGGCTGAGGTGGTTGGGTGCAATGGTGAAAGGGACGGTTGTGGCATCAACAGTAGTGGCAATTGTAGTTGTAGGGATAAAAATGGGCACACACCAACCTTTCATGTTACAAATTTTCTCCTCCGACACAATGTCATGTGTAATACTATTCCTTCCGAACACAACAATGGCGTCCAAGAGGATGCAGAGAAGTCTCCCTCGTTAAAAAACAAACACAAAGTATAAACTACCAAATGGGGGAAAAGGATCATCTCTAGATCGCTTCCACCAAATCCTTCCCATCTACTATTCTTGACTCTTGAAATTTGATTTAATGGCTAAAAACAAGAGATCACTTTAAAAGTTAAGATCACTTTAACCGTTATATCAAATTTCATGAATCCGAATTAGTTAATGGATAGGATTTGGTGAAAAGGATACAAAGATAATCCCTTTCCCAAAATGGGTTCCAGGGGGAACCACCTCAAACATTTATGCAAGTGATGGGTCAAAATTTTATTAAACCAAAAATACGTTATACAAAATGCGAGCAGGTAAAAAGCTCTTAAAAAAAAAAAAAAAAAAACAAAGGTTATCCTACATCTCTACCCTGCGCCCAAAATTTCTGCTGACATTTTTTGCAGGGGCATATGGCCCCGTCAGGCCATTTGCTGCATTTGAACAGATAGTTAAATACGTACACGGAGAGAGAGACTCGGATCCAATGGCTTCTCAAACGAAACATTGACATTCTACCGACTCAGCTAAGAGGGGCCTATAAAAAGCGGCATCAAAAAGATGCACCGCGATATAATATATACTTTGTGGATGACGAAAGAAAAAACCTACATCACTAAACTTGTTAGCGGAGGCGCAACTGAGGAACTGAAAAGTGAATCCCCTAAATATTTGCAGTTCTCACGGTCAACTTTCAGAGAAGACGAAATCTTAAAACTTTCGCAAGCACCGGACCCCACAAGGCGACGGGCGCTTTTACCATCAGAAACAATGCAGTGGAGCTTCTGGACAGAGCTTCCGTTACCACGTCTTCTCTTCCTTGAGGACTTCCACTTCAGCTGGGCAAGTAGACCATCCTTCAAAAGATCTGGAACCTTGCCCGGTTCTTTAACCTTTTCATCTTTATCACTTTCATCAAGCGAAACAGAACTATTACATCCGGTTTCTTCTTTCTTCAAGGGTTCGCTGTCACACACTGCAGATTGCGTTGGCACGCAATCTGAACTCTTTCCGACAACTTGCTTTGTTTCTAAATTACATGATATTGAGCTCACAAGTTCTGGCCTGTCCTTAATCTGAGCCCATCCTATTCCCAACCACTCTTGAGAATGTCTTAATTCACCATGACCAACAATCAACACCCGCTTTTCTCCTGCACGCAGAGCTAGTATTTTCAGATATTGAAGCAAATAAACAGCAACACAAACGAGAAAAGGAAAACTATTATCAGTTGGATTCTCTTAAACTTCTTTGTTGCTATTAGATTTCAAAAACGAGAAAAATGGACAAACCTGGGAAATACACATGCAGTCTTTCATCAGGTTCCTTCTGAACTACAATCCCTTCCCACCATCCATCGTTCCACCAGACATCCACAACAGTCCCAACATCAACAGCCCATGAAACTCTGCCTTTGCTAGATGGTGGAGATGGCCGAACAATTGGCCTACCGAAAGTACGAAGACCAAATTGATCAGAAGCTGCAAGCCTAGATGCCAAAATCCATTCCTACAACATGGAAACCACAAAGTTCAAGTAATCTATAGGTTAAAAACAGGTGTGCACAAAAAATAATGAACAAAAAAAAAAAATACAGATGACAGCAAAGCATACCTCAAGTTTTTTAGCTTCATCAGCTGCATCCTGAATATCTTGATATTGCACCTTCACTTTATCTCTGTACCTTTTGATAATCAAAGCTTTGAACCAACACCCTCTAATGCCACTGTCCTGTGAGAGGACTTCAACCTGGGAACCAACTACTAAATGCTGTTGCGGGTTTTTCTTCACCTCTTTATGAGGTAAAACAGAAGAACCTCCTCTTACAAGGCAGAAGGATTTGCTTTTACTTCTGCAATCAGTCTCATGTTGACTTAGATTCTCCACATTATCACATACAGCATCCGGAGACTCTTTCCAGTCACGGAATTCCAAGCGCATGTCATCATTTTGTGAAGAACGATGCCTCTTTTTAGGTCTGATACCATTGACACCATCATTTTCTTCCGCTTCCAACCCTTCATCTGGCTGTTGAGAACTTCCATGAGCCTTCGAAGGAGCAAGTGTGTGCATGTATCTAAGTATCTCCTGTTTCCAATAACCTTGAACTTGAGTAATGTCAAAGGGCTGGACATCATCATTTTCAAATTGCTTCTGGCATACGAAGGGTTTCAAAAGAGTTTGTGTTGCCTCTCTCTTGAATTTCTCAAAATGCTGGGGGCTGAGTACAGTAGCTAATCCATCTATGCATTCAATACTGAGATCTTGAAGACAAAGAGAGAAGAAAATCTCCCTGTCATTAAAATTGTGAGGCAAAACTATACCAACCTCATCAACTTTGTGAAACCACCGTACCACAACCATCTTGTTGCCCCTAGAATCCTCGTACATATCTTCTAAGTATGCAACAAGACGTTTATCTTCCTCTGCTAAAACAAATACAAAATCATGAACCTGAAAGCATTTGGAAAGAGGGGAACAGAACAATGAGTCAAACGAAAATATTTTCAAACAGGAAACACATTACTGACGGTAAGATGTCCATGAAACAAGAAGTAAATGAAAAATAAAAAAAACCAATAGAACTTACCGAAACTACAACTCCATTCCGGCTAAATGATTGATAATGCCTCCGTTTTTTCCTGCATGTCCAAGGAGAGCCTAACCACAGAAATTCAGTGGTATGCTTGCCTAACTTCCGCAATACAGTATCCTAAGAGAAAGATTAAGAATGAATATAAGCGATGACTGAAATGAAAATGTATGAAGCATAAAACAGGCAGGGGTAAGTACATAAAGTGTCACCAGTCAACATAATTCTTCTTACCTTAAAGATTTCAGTCCCCAACTTGTAAGCATCTTTACCATCTGACACGCTTCCACCCAAATCAGGTGATTTGAGAAATGCTGTATCTGACAGAATCACAAAACAAACAAATTAACAAATGACATTTACCATGGGACAACTGTACAAATTATATGATAATTCAGACAGACAGGAAAACCAAAAAGAAAAAAAGCAAACGACTATTAACAGAAATAATTGTGTACATGAAACAAGCAGATAAAATGGACAAGTATCCATAGCAGACAGGTGGATTAAACATAGAGACAAAAAAAATATGAAGATATAAACCATCAAAGATAGCAAAAGATCATTAGGGAACAAAAAATATTGTAGATTTGGCCATGAAGGGTCTTGACCTAGAGTTTTTTAGGGCATAAGGATCTGATGCTCTCAACCAGCTCCTTACAATTTAATTAAAAATCCTGCAGCCCAAATCATAGTCAGTTCATAAAAACAAGAAGACCAACAATACCATGAAGAACAGAACATAGTCAAGGTTGAAAGAACAGAGTAAGACACCAATGTTCAAAACAAGAACACACGCATAAAACCAGCCAGGCCACCTATAAGATCCTTCATTAGTGAATAACAAAAATCCCTATGCAACTTGATAACAAGTGCTGCAAAGAACAAGACAAAAGTCTCTAAGGTGTTCCAAGTTTTAAACACAGCAGAGAGGAAAGGAGGATCCCAAAAGGAAAAAGAATGACGAGACAAAAGTACGAGAAGGTTTTTCTTCATGCCGAAGGGATCAACAAGAATTATACCGAGTTAGAGAAAACTAATCCAACTTGAAGAACAAGAGCTCTAGCAATTACAAGAGAAAGGAATGAAGACAAATGCAAAACCTCTCAATACAAAGGTTTAAACTTTATCAAAAGGAAAAGCTTTGTATAGGCCTGTCGGTGAAGCCGAGATTATTCCAAAATCCTCGTCTCATTAGTAGTGAAAGCTTTGTATAGGCTGGTAGGTGAACCTTAGAACAGTCCGCCCTATCAACCAGAGAAACTTTGGTTTCAACAAAACTTCGATTGCGATAAACGTTGCAAAACCGGTGAGGAAGA